AAATTTTTGAATTTTTGATAATTTTTGATAATTTTAGATTTTTTACTAAAGAGTCGAGAGTATTAAATAAGTAAAGTATTTTCCAAAAGCACAAAAATAATGAAGCTAAATCCCATAAAAAAGAAAAAAAACTGTTGAATTTTAAGAAAATCAAATTTTTGAATTTTTTCGAATTTTTGTTAATTTTAGATTTTTTACCAAAGAGTCGAGACTATTAAATATGTAATGTATTTTTCAAAAGCACAAAAATAATGAAGCTAAATCCCATAAAAGAGAAGAAAAAATGTTGAATTTTAAGAAAATCAAATTTTTGAATTTTTGATAATTTTTGATAATTTTAGATTTTTTACTAAAGAGTCGAGAGTATTAAATAAGTAAAGTATTTTCCAAAAGCACAAAAATAATAAAGCTAAATCCTATAAAAGAGAAGAAAAAATGTTGAATGTTAAGAAAATCGGATTTTTGAATTTTTTCGAATTTTTGATAATTTTAGATTTTTTACTAAAGAGTCGAGACACTTTAATAAGTAAAGTATTTTCCAAAAGCACAAAAATAATGAAGCTAAATCCTATAAAAGAGAGAAAAAAATGTTGAATTTTAAGAAATTCGGATTTTTGAATATTTCATAATTTTCATTAAATTTAGATTTTTTACCAAAAAGTCGAGACAATTTAATAAGTAAAGGATTTTCCAAAAGCACAAAAATAATGAAGCTAAATCCCATAAAAGAGAAGAAAAAATGTTGAATTTTAAGAAATTCGGATTTTTGAATATTTCATAATTTTCGATAATTTTAGATTTTTTACCAAGGAGTCGAGACTATTAAATAAGTAAAGTATTTTCCAAAAGCACAAAAATAATGAAGCTAAATCCTATAAAAGAGAAGAAAAAATGTTGAATTTTAAGAAAATCGGATTTTTGAATTTTTTCGAATTTTTGATAATTTTAGATTTTTTACCAAAGATTCGAGACTATTAAATATGTAAAGTATTTTCCAAAAGCACAAAAATAATGAAGCTAAATCCCATAAAAGAGAAGAAAAAATGTTGAATTCTAAGAAATCCGGATTTTTGAATTTTTTCGAATTTTTAATAATTTTCGATTTTTTACCAAAGAGTCGAGACTATTAAATAAGTAAACTATTTTTCAAAAGCACAAAAATAATGAAGCTAAATCCCATAAAAGAGAGGAAAAAATGTTGAATTTTAAGAAAAACGGATTTTTGAAATTTTTTGAATTTTTGATAATTTTAGATTTTTGACCAAAGAGTCGAGACAATTTAATAAGTAAAGTATTTTCCACATTAAAAAGTTTGACATTAAAAAATATATAAAAAATGCCAATACTTAACCCACAAAATTAAATTTTCAAAACAAACAAATGAATGCAGATAATTTGCTAACGGAAAGGAAACTTACGATTATTATAATGTATGTATATGTATATGTATATGTATATTTCTATTTTCTATCAAAACGTATAAAAAACAAAAGAATAACTATAACTAACTTCAAGTGTGGACAGAGATCCGGAAATCTGGAATCACGACGATTATTATATATAATTATTTTAATAATAGCTTTAAAAATAATATTCATCTAATTTTAATTTACTGCATTAATTGAAAGAAATCTCCAAATATAATTATAATCCCTCTTTCACTCGCATTATCTTTAATTTCTATCGAATGAAAGAATATTCAGTAATCAGAGAGAAATTAGAATTTCCTTAAGAAAGACAAAATGAAATGAATTACCATAAGAAAAAGCGGAGAAATCTTTTCTTCATTTGAAATTTTCACTCAATTTCAATTGAGTCGAAAATTAATTATTTACAATCTCAATTCATCTTTTTTTTCAGCGAGAAGATTTTTGGCACGAATCCAATTTATAGTGCACTGTGGTAACAAATCCAAAAATTAAGTCTCATAAACTCGTCAAAATTCTCAATAGAGAAATTTAAAAATTGTTTTTCACACGAAAAATGAAGTTACATATTTTCCCAAAAGACAAGTCTTCTTTTTTTTTTTTTTTTTGAAAAATATGTAAGTTCATTTTCAAGTTTTATAAAAAAAAGTAATTTATCACATTGGATTTATTTGCGAAAAGAAAAGTTAGTTTATATTCTAATTTCCATGGGAAAAAAAATTTTTTGTAGAAAAAATAACAAGGAAACTTTAAATGAGTTAAAATTAAATTTAAAGGCAAATTTTTCCTTTTCTTTTAAAATAAAGGAGTTGATTGAAATTTGCCAATTTCTTTCAAGTAATTTAAGAACATTTACCGACACACCTTCTTTGAGAGGTACTTATAATGTCTGAAACTTCAAGTGGAAGGTTATTCTCGGTTCTGCTTCAAACCACGTTTCCATATAGTAGATCAAACACAGTGCCAACTAACTTCTATAGAAAAAATTCTTCTATTCGTTTTTTTTTTTTTTTTTTAAGGGGGATTAAATTGAAAAAAGCAAGAAGTTTAATTATTTTTCTCTACCCTAAAATTTATTTTCCTAAATCTAATTTACCTTCCTGAAGCTAATTAAACCTCTACCTAATTTATTTAAATTTATTTAAGAACTTAACATATAATCTAATAAGAATAAATATATAACTACAATAAATTTATTTGACTTAAGTCTAGCTTGACACTTTGTTGTAAATGAAAATTGGTCAGGGAAAAGTCAGGGATTTTTATTAAAGTAAATGGAAAAAATTGAATTTTAAATAATTTACAAATGAATTGCAGATGTTCAATTATTTTCAAAAGCAATAAAATTCTTCGTAGAAATTCAATTATTTGTAAAAATTAAAAAAAATTCTCGTCAAAATTCAATTATCTTTAAAAATAATAAAATTCCTCTCCAAATTTCAATTATTTTCAAAAATTTTAATAAAATTCTTTACAAAATTCCAAATATTTTCAAAAAAAATTTTCTTCAATGATTTTCAATATCTACTTTAATAAAAATTTTCCAAAGAATTCAATTATTTAAAAAAAAAATGTTGATAAAATTCTAAGCAAACTTTGCAATAATTCAATTATTTTCATGAATAAAAAAAATTCAGCATAGAATTTCAATTATTTTTAATACAATTTTAATTGAATTTCTCGAAAAATTTAATTATTCTTAAAAATTTGATTAAAATTCCTCAAAAAAATTCAAATTTGTTGATAAAATTCTTTACGATAATTCAATTTCGTGTGAAACATTCATTTATTCAATAAATTATTTATTTTTGTATTTAAGTAATTGAATTCTCGTAGAATTTTTATTAAAAACTGATTTAGAGTCCAATTTTAGTTAAAATTTTTAGATCACAATTGAATATTAAAAGCATTAGAGCATAAATTTTTAAAAATAATTGATAATTGAATTCTTTCGAAGAATTTTAATAAAATTTTTGAAAATAGTTACATTTTTCGTAGAATTTACTTAAATTTGTATTAAAAATAATAGAAATCCTGTAAAGAATTTTAATTAATTTATGAAAGTAATTGAATTGATTTTTTTATAAAAATATTAGGAAAATTGTGTTTTAAATAATTGAATTTCTTTAAAAATTGTATACTATTTATGAAAATAATTAAATTCTTTCAAAAAATTTTATTAAAATTATTGAAAACAATTCAATTGTTATAAAGAATTTCATTAAATATTTTTAAAATAATTAAATTATTTTAAAGAATTTTATTACAATTTTTAAGAATAGTTGCATTTTTTGCGCAATTTATTTAAAATTGTATTAAAAATAATTGAAACCCTGCGATGTGTTTTAATAATTATAAAAATAATTCAATTCTTGCAAAGATTATTATTGAAATTTAAAAAAATAATTGAATTCCTGAGAAGAATTTTATTATTTATAAAAATAATTGAAATCTTGTGAAGAATTTTATTAATTTATAAAAGTAATTGAATTCTCGCAATGAATTTTTGCAATTTTTTTTTAAATAATTGAAATAATATAAAGAATCTTATTATTTATGAGAATAATTGAATTCCTACAACGAATTTTATTGCATTTTTTTTAAATAATTGAATTCTTTTGAGGACTTTCATTAAAATAATAGATTTTGAAAATATTTGAATTTCAACGAAGAATTTCATTATATTCGTGAAATGTAATAAAATTCTTGCAAAAAGTTTAAGAAAATAATTCCATTTTTCTAGGAATTTACTTTAAATTTTATTATAAATAATTGAAATCCTCAGAAAAATTTTATAATTTATGTAAATAATGGAATTCTCACAACGAATTTTATCAATTTTTTTAAATAATTGAATTCTATTAAGAACTTTTATTAAAATAGTGAATTTTTGAAAAGTTTTGAATTTCAGCGAAGAATTTCATTATTTGTGAAATGTAATTTTAATTTTAATTCTTGCAAAAAATTTTTGAAGATAATTTCATTTTTCCAGAAATTTATTTAAAATTGTATTAAAAATAATTTAAACCATGTGAAGAGTTTTATTAATTTAATGAAAATAATTTAATTCTTGCAACGAATTTTATTATAATTTTTGTAAATAATTTAATTTTTGAAAAATTTTATGGAAATTAAAATTTTTATAAAACACGAAGATATCGATTACTCCGAGTCGAAGACTCAGAGTGATTGGTTGTTGAATTTTAAAAATGTTTGAATTTGAATGTTTTGAAGAATTTTAATTCCTATATGGAAAAATAACAATTAAATACTAATTTAAAAATTTATTTATTGATGTTTGCGAATAATTTTACAATTTAAGAAATTCGCAAGTAAATGTAATAGTTTTGTTTTAAGTATCTAATAATTTTTAGAGTGAATCAGAATATTCTTTAGGGTCAGGGGAAAAGTCAAAATCAATCAGGAAAAAGTCTGAAAATCAGGGAAAAGTCAGGGAAAAACAAAATTAATTTTTTGTGGCAACCCTGTAATTACTCGAATATTATTTATATTTATTTATATTTTTTTTTATTAATTGTATTTATTTATTTATTTCTAATAATTTTTTTCCAGGTAAAACAAATTAAGGCAAGAAAAAAAGTTGCTAAAATGGTGATGGCTTTTGTGGTGATTTTTGCAATTTGCTTTTTTCCACAACACGTTTTTATGCTGTGGTTTTACATTCATCCAACAGCGGAGAGGGATTACAATTCTTTTTGGCATCTTTTTCGCATCGTCGGATTTTGCTTGGCATTTGCAAATAGCTGCATAAATCCAATTGCCCTTTACCTTGTAAGTGGCTCGTTCAGAAAATATTTCAAAAGGTAAGCACAACAACTATTCAAAATCACATATATATAAATATTATTATTCTGCTTACGTTTTTAAATTTTTTTATTTATACAATTCCACAATTTTTATTTCTTAAAAAAAAAAAATGTCCACATTTCTTTCAAAAACGGACAATTGGAATCAATTTTTCCGTCCACGTGAACTAAATCTAATAGTGAGAGAAAATTTTGTGACTCTTGTTAGAAAATTGGAAGGATTTTATTTGAAGCGTCTATATGTGTGGACTAATTAATTTCCATTTGCTTTTACATTGAATTTTGGAGAACATCGAACCTTACTAATGGTATGGCCAATGATTTCCTTGTTCGATTACGTAAGAGTGTACGAACGTGTAGTGCATAAAATTGAAGAGACCTCATTGACATCGTGGGAGTTTGACTATTAACCATGCATGCATAGGAAAACTGTTTTCCCAAAAGCCCCATTGCCATCAATAAAGGCACACTTCCCCCTACCCTTATATATTTGTTGATTTCGATTTAACCTCAAGGAAAATCACAATTTATTGATCGCGTTACTTCTCATCATTCTCCACTTTCTTCTCTCTCGATTCGATATCATAAAATAATAATTGATATCTGATCCTATTGAAAGATTTTATCTTCACGAACAATTAATTAAATTTAATAATTCCCCTTCCGTCCCCTGACCTTAAAATTGAATTTAATTTTGTCGTTTTTTATTAAAATGAATAAATTTCGAAATTTTATGCTTTATTTTATAGAGAAGATGTTTTTGTATCCACAAAAAAAATTTTTCAAATGGAAAATTTTATCTTCACTATTTTTAAAGTATTAGTAAATTAAAAGGAAATTATCAATATTCCAAGTCAAATAAATTATTAATTAGTAATTATTTGACTTGGAAGATTGATAATTTCCATTTAATTTAATTATATAATTTTTACCAAGTGTTATATTCATTTAAATATATTTTTAAAGCACTTTTTTTAAAATTGTTTTTAGGCTAAAAATGATAAAAAATAAATTATTATTAAATATTATTATTAAAATTTTCCAATCAAATAATTTTGTTGTTAATTTTTTTTTATTAAAAATTCTTTTTTGTAACTAATTTGTAATAATCGTGTTTTTAGGCGAAAAGAAAAAAATTTAAACATATTAATGTCAGGCCTCGGATCGACTTTAAGGTGAAAAAAAAGTCGCTTTATTCGATTAAAAATACAAAAAAAGTTGAAAAAGTCTTTTATTTAATTAATATGCAGTAATGTGACAAGAATTTTATTTTGTATTCTCCTGATTTTACCCTTTCATTAATTCCTAATTTAATTTTTCAAAACTAGAATACTTTTGTTAAATAAATATTTTAATAATTATTATTTATTTTTCCATGGGAAATAAAATTAGAATTTCAAATTAAAACCTTCTGAAATTTAATAATTTCCTAAAATTACAATTCTCACCCTTCCAAAATTTAATTATTTTCTACAATTTTTAACTAAACTTCATTTCCAAATCAATTATTTCTAATTTTTCTTACAATTATTTAAATACAAAAATTCAATTTTCCATAATTATTGTCACTATAACTGTTTATGGTTCTTTTTTTAAAAAGTTATTAAGACGAATTACTGAAAATATTTAACCAAAAGTGTTCTCAGTAATTGATTTTTAAAAAATTATAATAAAGAAATTCTTAAATTTTTTTAAATAAATTTTTAAATAATTTTTGAAAGTTTATATGTTTTAAATTTATACAAATGAAAAATTTCCAAATAATTGAAATTTGGTAAAATCTTTTAACAATAATTGAATTTTTGAATAATATAAAAAGAAATAATCCAATTTTTATAAAGAATTTTAATTTTAAAAATGAACATGATTTCTCCAAAATTTTAAAAAGTCTAAAAAAGTAAATTTAAAAAAATTTTAATTTATTTTGTTCAAAGATAATTATTTTGGAATAAAAATAAATCTAATAAAAATGAATCTTAAAAAATTATAATGAAACAATTATAAGACTCAGTTTTTTAAAAATATTGCAATGTAATTTTACGAAAATAATTGAATTTCTTTAATGAATTTTTGTACAATTTAAAAAAAACTAATTTTTTGTTGAATTTTTATAGATTGTTTTCTTCAAAATGTTTAAAATAATTCTAAAAAATTTAAATTTTATTTTTTGGAAGTATTTGAATTTTCGGAAATATGTAATTGAAAATATTGAAAATAATTAAATTTTAAAAACATACAAGGAAAAAGTTCTATAAGTATTACTTTTTCAAAAATATTTTAATATAATTTTTAGAAGCTAATTTTCATTAATTTTCATATGTATAAATTTACACTCGAAGATTTTTCATTAATTTTCATATTTATAAATTTACACTCGAAAATTTTTCATTAAAATTTTTGAGAATTCAATTATTTTCAAAATTTGCAATTAAAACTCCTCAAAAGTTGATTTTCAAAAATTGTAATAAAATACTTGAAAAAATCAAATATTTTCAGTTAAATTTTACAATATTTCAATTATTGAAAAATTTGTTTAATTGTATATTTCAAAAATTTAATTAGAAAAATCATTCAATAATAATTTTTGAAAGATTTGAGTATAGTTTTTACACTATAAAAATCAAAATAAATTGCTATTTATACCAAAAATGTGGTTTTTGTGTCAAAACTTGTAATAAAAGTCGAAAAAGACATAATTTTCAAGGTCTGTATTATTATTGTCTTAGTAGTATAAGTAAATTATTGGTCGGACGATTATTATTAATATTATTATTAATACTATTTTTTAAGTAGTACAAGTAAATTATTAGTCAGACGTATCAGTATTATTTTTAATATTATTATTTTCAATATTATTTTTATTAATATTGTTGTCTCAGTAGTATAAGTAAATTATCAGTCAGACTATTATTATTGTTATTATAAATAAAACTTTGTAGTTAACGATTTATTTACAATTAAGACTACCACGTGACAAAGTATTATTAACAATTATATTGTTATTATTATTATTATTATGTTGTATATCGGATGTATTTTGATAAAAATTATAAACAAAGAAAAATAATATTTATAAATTTTTTAAGTGTACAAATTTTAAGGAATATTTTTTTTTACTACATTATACTGTATAAGAAATTATCATTACAGATATTTATTTTGTTGCTGTGGAAAGAGAAGAGGCGAAAGAAATTCAATAATTGGTTCACGAAGAAGAGATTTAAGTTTATCAATAACAATGTCTCGAAGACAGACAAGCTCTCGAAGATGTCATCAAAGTATAATACAAATGTCGACATGGCAATCGCCAGCTGTTCATATTCGAGATCGATCACAAAATGAGCAAGAAACAACAACAACTGCCTGTAATAATGGTTATGAACAACGAATATGAGAAATAAATTCAGGTAACATTGTAGAAAAAATTTTTTTTTCATTTATTATATTTATAATTTTTATTTTATTGCATTTATTGCGATTTTGTTTATATTACTCCTCCCCTCTCCCTTTTCGAGGGGTTATAATTTCAATAATACAAGAATCAATGGGTTCAAAAAAATCGGTTTTAGGAAATAAGTAGTATAAGTCAGTCTTTGTCAGACGACAGTTTTAGAATATCCTCAAATACTATTTTCGTAGCTAGCACCGTTTAATTTAGACTTATTTTAACTCTAATATATATCAAGGAGAGTTGGACATTTTTCTAATTTCAGTGATAAAATTTGTTTTCGGTCAGACGAGGAGCTTTAAATACCTTCTATTCTTTTTTTTTGGAAAGTAATAAAAAAAGGTATCACTAGATTGAACTGTTTTTTTTTATTTAACACTAGTATTAAAGTGGCTTTAGTTTAGTATAGCTTTAAGAGCTTTTAGTTTTAAGTAGTATAGGTCAGTTATCGTCAGTAGACAATTTCAAGTTCCATACATTCTTTTTATTTTATAAGTAGTACATGTCAGTTTTGTCCAGACGACGTATTTTTAATAACAGTATTAAAAAAACCCTTTTTTATTTTTAATTAATTTATTTCTTTCTATATTGAAGTAGAAAAATGTAAATAAATGTAAATATTTGTAATCTTACTCTTTAAATCATTTTTAAGTGAATCATTTTTATTTTTTGGAACAAATTTTAACATTAACAGCAGTAATAATAGGATATTATTTTTCTGTTTTAATAATAGTTTTTTTTTGTTAAATACAACTTTAAAATCTAGTTTTTAATTCGTTTTTCTAGTTCAGTAGAAAAGTTCCGTTTTGGTCAGACAAGAAGTTTGATATATTAGTAATTTTAACTTATAAGTAGTAAGAGTCAGTTTTAAGCCAGACGACATATTTTTAAACTGAAAAATGAAATTAGTATTTTTAAAATCATCTTTATACGTTTTAAGTAGTACCAGTCGATTTAAGTCAGACTAAATATTTTCCAAATATTTTCCATTGTTTTAAATCATGTTTCTATATTTTAAGTAGTGCAAGTCGTTTTAAGACTAAGATTTCTAAGTGTTTATAGTGTTTTCAATCATTTTGATATTTATTTTAAGTAGTTCAAGTCGTTTTAAGTCAGACTAAGAGTTCTTAAAATATTTTCCCTTGTTTTAAATCAAGTTGATACATTTTAAGTAGTATAAGTCGTTCTTAGTCAGACTAATTTTGTAATTAATGCAAAGCTGTCAATTTTGACTTAATTATCGTAACTATACTACTACCTTAAAATCTATTTTCATTGCTTATTAATTTGATTATCAATTTTAGTAATAAATGATTGTTTAAGTCAGACAAAATTTTTTTTAAACTTGTAATGTTCGTTTCTAAGTATTAAAAATAATATTTAGTCGAACATAAGGTTTTTATTTCTAATAACTCTAGTGTCAGTATATTTTCAAAGTTTCTCGATTTAAGTAGTATAAGTCAGTCTATGTCAGCCGGAAATTTCCAAATGTCTATAATTTCAACTTTCTAAGTAGTAAAAGTCGGTTTTTTGCCCAGACAAAATTTATTTTTTCAATATCTTTAGTATAAGAGACAGTTTTAAATAACGAATATAGAAAATAAATTCAGTCAGTAAATAAAATTTTTTTTAATTATTTCTCCCCGAGAAGAGAAATGTTCAAATCGCTTTTTCAGAAACAAATAAACTTGAAAGTTATATTATAGAGTTGAAATATGAGAAATTGTGGTTTGAGCGTCTCGAAATTATATCAACAAATATACTTTACTCAATTTATCATCATGCCTTTCATAATTCTTATTTTTTTCCAAATGACAACTTATTATTTCTCCTATATTTTCTCTTCAAGTCTGAAAAAATATTTTTAGTTTTTAAAAAGGGAAATTAAATTTATTTTTAAATAATAATTTAAGAAATAAAATGGCACAGAAATTAAATTCTTCTTCTAAATAAATTTCTAATTACTAATATTTTTTTTAATAAAGAAAATATTCTTGTCTTTTGATATATATATATATATATATATATATATATATATATATATTCAGAATAATAATCCAGTAATTACTTAGCATTATCGGTGGATTGTGGTTATCTATTGTCCTCCAAAGAGCTTTTATTCATTACGAAACTATGAGAATTTCAATTTTCCTCTAATTATTCACATTTTCTTAAAAATATTTCCCTCTTGAGGGGAAATTTAATTTTTTACAATCCAATTTTTCTAAAATTATTTTCATAATTAAAAATTTTTTGTTCTGAATTAGAAAAAATATTAAAGATTTAATACTAAAAAGAAATTTGTATTTAGATTAAATTTTTTCGTACAGATGAAAAAAAAAAATTTATCATGCGGATTTAAAAAAAAAGTAATTTTCTCAAACACGTTATAAAGAGTCTTCTGATTTATAGGTATGTTTCATTGCAGATTTAATAAAATAAAGAATGACATTTCTGCAAAAGTCTCTCTCTCTGGCAAAATTGCAGATTTAAATTCTCCTTTTAAAATTCACAAAATTAAAAATGTTAAAAAGTGAGAATTATTTTTATGAAAATGTCATCATAGAAATATCCACAAATTTATCAAATGGATTTCTGTCATTTTTTTAGTGATATACACATAGTTTTTATTATATAAAGAAAATTGAAATTTTAATATGCGAAAATTCGTTTTACCATTTTTTTAAAATTGTAAATTTTGTAAAACGATTATTATCACTTTATTAATGAAGAAGCTTTCACCAGAATTAAATTCCAAACACACATATTCAACAAGGATATAACAATAATAATTTATTTTGACATTTATTGATGAACGTTATAAACTTAATATTCCTGCTATATTATTTTTCAAGTTAAATTAAAAAAGAAAAAAAATATTTGCAATAATTAACATTTGAATAATGAATAAATCAAGGGAAATTTATCCTTTGAATACTTTTGACATTTTTACGATATTGTACAAAATTTCTGATTGACTACATAAAGAGATCATTATTCATAATTAATTTTACAATTTTACAAATTAAATAATTTCGTATTATGAGAATTTTGACGAGTATAAAAAAGCAAAATTTTTTTATTACAATGATAAGATTTTAATTAAAAAAAAATTTTTTTTAAGATTTTTAAATATTTTTAAACATTTTAAAACATTTTTGAACATTTTTGAACATGTTTAAACATTTTTTTAAGGGTATTTTTAATATAAAAGAAAATTCTTTTCAGATCGAGAAGATAATTTAAAATCACAAAGATCTTTTATTGACACCATCGATATTGAAGTCACAAAAAGGATAGCGCCTTTAGATCTCGAATTCCAACAAAATAAAACAATGGAATTAACTTTCAGGCAAATAAAGAGAAATACAATATAAAAAAAATTGTTATCGAACATCGCACTAGTTTAAGAGAATTCTATCGACCAATACAATAAAAATGTGTTCATTGCACGGACACTTTGCTTCCTCTTAGAAATGTAAATTTTTTATTGTTTATGAAAATTTTTTTGTTCATTAATAAAAAAAAATAACAGAAAATGAAGACTTTAAAAGAATTAATTATTTTCAAATTTAAGTTTAAGTAACGAAAAATAATAAATAGTAAATAAATTAATAAAGGGAAATACAGAGGCGAGAAGACTAAAAAAATCAATTTTCAGTAGTATGAGTAAACGTACAGTCAGGCAATTCAGAAATTCCGGGATTTTTCTCTGAGGAAGCAATATTAAAAATGTAACAAAAAAACAGTTCTAAATTTACGCCCCCCCCCCATTCCTAAAAATTAGAAAAATTTTCTTTTATCCAAATAAAAGTCTTTAATCTCAATTCTTCATAGGACTGTTATAGTAAAAACAATTATATTATAAGAAATCCGTCTATAAAAAGTATTTTCTAAATATATAATATTAAAACATTGTGATATATGGAATTTTTATATTCATTCTTTAAGGGTAAGTGATTAAATTTGTCGTTCAGAAAGTTTTTTACAACTTTGACCAAATACTTTTTGATAAAGCCCCTTAGTTACAGTTATCAGTATAATACCATTGAAAATCATTGAATTATTCTCAATTATCAATGGTATTGTTTTTTTTTATAAAAAGAACAAAGAAAAACAAATGAAAATGTTCAAAAATTATTACTTTTTGTTAATACGAGTGATAACACAGGCCCTTAAAATTCTTCTAGTTGTAAATCTAGTCATTTTTAATATAAAATGTGAGTGTAGCAAAAAATTAAAGGTAATTCAAGGAAAAATGCAAAAATCGTTCACTGCATTGCAAAAAAATTTTACAAAAAATACAAACAGTAAAAGAAATTATAAATTTTTTGCCAATTACACTCATTTTTAAATATAAAATGCAGTAGTGCAGTATTGTTAAAGGGAAATATCTCTCCGAATAAATAATCAAATTTATATTATGCACTAAAAAAGTTTATTTGATTCAAATAATTTGTACTACAAATGATAACTTAACTTTAAATCCGATAACTTAAAAATAAAAAAATAAATAAAAAAAAATGAAATGGTATTTGCTTCAAATACTAATAAATACTTCAAATACGAAATAAAATTAATGGTTCAAACACCACTTAATTGAGTTAAATAAAAATTATTTGATTCAATTAAATATTTATTTAATAATAATGACAATTTATCGGTTATTTGAATCAGAGAAATTTTTTTCAGTGCGTATAAATAATAATTTTGTAAATACAGTAATAATTAAAATGTGAATCGTCAAAATTAATCAATTGTCCGAATTTTTTATCAATGTAAAAGAATAATAGGAAATAAGAATATTTATATATTTACAATGATGATTATTTATCAGTTCATCTAATATATATAGTAGTAATATTTCAAATTATTCTTCGTCAATAGAACTAGTATATTTATATAGTGTTAATCGCAAGTAAACGTAGAAAATATTGACAGTTATTAGAGGTGTGCAAAAAGCTCGAAAAGCCGAGCCGAGCCGGGCCGCAATTTTTTCGAGTCGAGCCGAGCCGAGCCCGAGCCGGGCTCGATGTATCGGGTACCCGAAATTTTCGAGTACCCGAAACATTCGGGTACCCGAATTCACTCGAGTACTCGAATATTTCGGGTGCTCGAATGAATTCGGGTAACCGAAATTTTCGAGTACTCAATTTAATTCGAGCTTTTAAATTAAAAAAAATTTTTTTTTGAAAAAAAAAAAATTTAATTAAAAATTAATGTAGAAAATTTTGGATTTTCTCAAGGGCTCGAATCAAATCGAGTACTCGAAAATTTCGAGTACCCGAAAGTTTCGGGTACCCGAAAAATTCGAGTACCCGAAATTATTCGAGCTTTTTATAAAGCTCGGCTCGGCCCGAGCTCGGCTCGAGCTCGAACTGAATAGGCTCGGCTCGGCTCGGCTCGGCTCGAAAAATGAAAAGCTCGAAAATACCCGCTCGAGCTTCGGGTTTCGAGCTTTTTGCACACCTCTAACAGTTATAAATTTATAATTAAATTTTTCGTTTAATTTTCAAAAAAAAACAAAAAAAATTGTCCATAAACTGTAGAATGAACTATTTTTAATAAATAAGCTGTATTAAGTTCATAATGTTTTATTAATTGAATAAAAAATTTATTCTTTAAACCTTGCGGCGGCTAACTTTCTTCCTGCCTTTTTAAAAAAAAATCATCAATTTTAAAAACAATATAGAATTTAAAAATTTTCTAATTAAAATTTTTTTTGAAAACACTAAAAAAATTCAATTTTGGAGAAATTACAAATAATTGCAAAAATTCAATTATTTAAAAAAAAAAATAAATAAAATTCTTATAAAATCCAACTATACTCAAAATTTAAAAATAAATTCTCGTAAAAATCCCAATTATTTTTATAAATAACAAAATTCTTCACCAAAATTCAATTATTTTTATAAATGTCAAAAAAAAAATTCTTGTCCTAATTTCAATTATTTTCAAAATAAAAATGCATTTTTCTAATTTCAATGATTTTCAATATCTACTATTTTAATAAAATTTCCCAAAAAGAATTCAATTATTTGAAAAACATTTTAATAAAATTGTATGCAAACATTTAATTATTTTCATAAATAATAAATTCTTTTTAAGGAATTCAATTATTTTCATAAAAAATAATTTAAAATTTTAGAAAATAATAATTGAATTAAAATAATAAAAATAATTTTGATAAAGTTACAGTAACAATAGTCTTATAATATAAAATAATGATTTTATTATTTGGTCATCTTTAATTTATAATTTGTTTAATTTAAAAAAGGTTTGAATTTAAAATTTTTGAATGTCTTAATTCCTGTGGAAAATCCTGTTCCAAAAATAAAATAAAAAATAAAAATTTTGCAAATACTTTTCTTCTTTTTCTGAAATAAAATAATTTTGTTAAAAAAAATTGTGATTTATAAACAAAAATAATGCAAAATAAATCAATTTTCTATTTCTTAAACACAGTTATTTAACAATTTTCTAATTTTGTTCAGAAGTAAAGAACAAAAATCTGCATAATTTCAATTTGACAAAACATAATATTTAACAAAATTTTAGTCTTAACAAAATTTTTAATTCGTTTAAAACAGATTTTAAATGTTCTTTATTGAAATGAATAACAAATAATTAAAAGATTGACTGAATATTTATGTTAAATTTTAATTTTAAAAATGAACATGATTCCTCCAAAATTTTAAAAAGTCTAAAAAAGTAAGTTTTAAAAAACTTTAATTTATTTTGTTCAAAGATAATTATTTTGGAATAAAAATAAATCTAATAAAAAAGAATCTTAAAAAAATTATAATGTAACAATTATAAGACTCAGTTTTTTAAAAATATTGCAATGTGATTTTACGAAAATAATTGAATTTCTTTTAAGGATTTTTGTACAATTTAAAAGAAACCAATTTTTTGGTGAATTTTAATAAAAAAAAATGAATGTTTTCTCTAAAGTGTTAAAAATAATTCGACAAAAATTTTAAAGTTATTATTTTTTGTGCGTATTTGAATTTTCGGAAATATGTAATTGAAAATATTGAAAATAATTAAATTTTAAAAACATACAAGGAAAAAGTTCTATAAGTATTACTTTTTTCAAAACTTTTTTTAATATAGTTTTTAGAAGCTAATTTTCATTAATTTTCATATTTAGAAAATTTACACTTGAAGATTTTTCATTGAAATTTTTGAGAATTCAATTATTTTCATAATTTACAATTAAAACTTCTCAAAAGTTGATTTTTCAATAATTGTAATAAAATACTTGAAAAAGTCAATTATTTTCAGTTCAATTTTACCAAATTTCAATTCTTGAAAAATTTTATAATTGTATATTTCAAAAATTTAATTAGAAAAATCATTCAAAAATAATTTTTGAAAGATTTGTCTATAATTATACTTTTTACATTATAAAAATCGAAAGACATGGCATTTTATACTAAAAATCCGTTTTTTTTTATTTTTTTTTTACTTTCAGTAGTAAAATTTCGTTTTAGTCAGACAAAAAATATAAAATTTGTAAATTTTTCTTAAGTAGTATAAAAAAGTTTCAGTCAGACATTATTTATATTTTAAAAAAATATTTAAAAATATACCGCATTTTTCACTATTTTAAAAGTATTATCGTAGATAATCAAACAGATTTTCTATTTAAGTAGTACAAGTCTGTTTAAGTCAGACATCGATTTCCTAACTTTGGTTCTTCAAAGTAGTAAAGGTCAATTTTTAAAGAAAAAAATTCCCTCTACCCTTAATGACCTTTTAAAACCTAGTTTTCAATTTCAGTAGTAAAGTTTCGTATTGGTCAGACGAGGTTCATGTATCACTTGTTATTTTCTTCTTCAAATAGTCTGTTTTTTTAGTCAATACGATTGTTATTTAATTAACCCCAGTATTAGAAGTTTTTGAAAACAGGTTCTAATTCTCAGTATTTTAAGTCAGTTTTATTCAGACAAAAATGGGAATTTTTTTCTCTTTATTAAAACAAGTAGTTTAGTTCAATATATGATAACTTCTATATTGGGAGATCCGATTTTTAATTAGTATTCGTTTTTAAGTAGTAGAGTTGTTTTTTTGTTCAGACATAAAGTACCTTTTTGTCTCTAATTGTAAATAGTACAATTTAATTGTGATTGATACTCGCTAGCAAATATTTTATTTTTATTAAAAAATATTTAACATCGTTTTTAATCAAATATTTCTCTCTAAGTAGTATAAGTCAATATAAAATATAAAATCAAATAATGAAATAAAAATAAAAATTTCCATTACCATAAGTAGTAAATTTTTTGTCACAATTTTTTGTCAAGCGAAATTGTCGCTTTAATTTCAGTACTAAAAGTCACTTTGTAATGACATTTTCTATCTATCAGTAGTAAAAAAAAAGTTTGTTCTAATCTGAACAGAAGTTTAGAATTCTCGTAAATCTTGGCGTGAAAGTAGTAAAAGTTATCGTTAGTCAGACAAGATCTCGTTAAATTTTTTATAAGACGGCATAATTGTAATTAAATTAATTAAAATAACTTTATTAATTAAAATAATTATATTAGTAATATTAGTTAATAATATTAATTAATAATATTAATTAATAATATTAATATTAATTAAAATAATTAAAATAAATAAATAATTGTATTAATTTAAATACTTAAATTAATTGAAATGAATTAAGTAAAAATATAGTAAATTACAATTTTAAAAAAGTGTTGAATTTCATTTTGAATTTAACTTTAAATTAAGAAAATTGCATTTCTGGAAAAGAAAGCGATATTTAAATTGCCTTGCTTATTTTCGTATTTTAGAAAACGAGATAGAATATGTCTGCGAATACAGAAGGTGTGATTTTTTCCTTATTTTGCTTTTTTTTGATACAATCTTTATTTTTTCAATTCTCTTCTCTATTCGAAATAAAAGTAGATAAAAATGTAGATAAAAAAAAGTAATTTTACAACTCTTAGCATAGATATGCTTAAAAGTATTCCCAATTCTCAAAAGGTAATGATTGCAATTAAAAAGTTTTAACATAATTCTAGTGGTGACGTCAAAAATATAACTCACATTCCTTTAAGGTTATTATTGTGTCAGAAGACAAATTGCCATGGAAAATAAAAGAAATCTATTTTTTTTATCTCACTAGCTACTTGTCAGACATTGAAAAAATTATGGATCTATAAAAAGAAATGCGAGAGTAGTACATTTTTCTCAAGCTCTTGCGGAACAATAGTCTACATATAAAATCCGTTTTTTTATATCATTGTAAAAAAAATCTACTTTTTTCATAGTGAGAATATTAACATAGAAATAAAAAAAATTTATAATTCTGAATAAGTATGTGAAATGTATTTTAATTTTATTTGTAAATATAAAAAACTGAAAGAGAAATAATTTTTTTTTTTGACGTTCGTTTAAAGAAAAAAAAACTAGAATTTAATTCCTGAATGAAGGTGCAATTTTTAACTTCATTAAAAAAATTAATATTTTTTAACTAATTTTAAACTTTTGATTAAAAAATTTTTTTTTTCTATTTTTCGTTTGTTATTAATTTTCACTTTAAACGTAATGCATTTATTTTCATACAGAAAACGTCAAAATTGTAAATTTCAAAACTTGTGTAAAAATTAGTATCGGGAGAAATTTTTTTCCAATTATTACGTCTATAATATAAAAAAAAGAAAATGACATATTTACATCCAACTCTAGAGGGGAATTTTTTTTCCTTAACTGAACATAACTAAAAATCACATTCAGAAGAACGTTCAATTTTTTTTGAAATGAGGTTAATATAATTTTTAATAATAATTAAAAATGCAAAGCAATTATTAATGAAAAAAAAATCACTAGAGTTAAGATTGTATTGGAAGGATCGACGTAAAAATTCATCGAGACATGAAAAATTATTGGAACGAGCACTTTCTGTGACAAAGAAAGATAAAATTATGAATACATCTAACGAAGGTAATCTCATAAATAAATCAATATTTATATATCGAAAAGAAATATTATTTTTATTGTCACTAACAATAAGCAAAATCTGAATTTTATTGCTCAATAAAATCTTCTTTGGGATATAAGAATTTTATTCTCATATATTCTTTCTTTTCCTTTTTTCTATTTTCTTTGAAATAAAAAAAGAATGCTTTAAAAAATTTTCTTATTCAAAATATATTGTTTTTCAAGTATCTATTTAAAATATTTTGAATAAAAAAAAAGTTGTTGCAAAATATTTTCAAATTAAAAAAAAATAAATTTAATTAAACAAAAATAAATTTTAACCATTTTTTTAAAAATATTTTCTTTTAATTTATAGTTTCAGCAAAAGAAGTGGATAAAGATTGCGATGATTCTTACAATAATAATTTTTGTTCAATTGACGGAAGACGAATGTCCCAATTTATTAAGCATCTTACAAAGTAAATATTATTTTTTCCAAAATGATAAAATTTTTATCCTGTAATGTAAAATATAAAGCTCGCTCTTAACTTTATAAAAAAGAAAAAAAATTTAATTGATGAAGAAAATAATTATTTTAATTGATATTAAAAATATTTTCTTTGTAAAATTAAAATATTAGATGTACTAAAGAAAAGAATGCAGCACAATCAGCGTTGGCTATTGTTGAAGCAAAAAATGAGGAGTTAGAAAAACGAAATCAATTCTTATGTAACGAAATTGAAGGAGAGAAGAACTTGAAGTTAAAGGTTCAGTGATAATTGGAAAAGAAAAATTTTATTAATATTGAAAAAATGCTTGAATTCTTCAACACTCTTCAAAATATGATTAAACTTTTTTCCAATATGTAAAATTAAGAAGTTTATTAATACTGAAAAAAGTGTTTGAATTTTTTTACATTCTTCAAAATATTATTTAAAATTAAAACTTTTATTAATATCGTAAAAATGGAGAAAGAATTCTTTTACATTTTTCGAAATATTTAAAATAATTGACAATTTTTCTTTTTTGCTATCCACTTGATTTTATTTTTTTATTTTCTGTAATTGAAAAAAAATTTTTAAATAAAAGATTTTTTTTTATTTTCATTAAGAAAATGCTTCAAATGAAAACAACAAGTTTTTAGCGTTTATCTTATAATTCAAATTTTTCCTTTTTCCTCTAAATATAGTTATCGGAAAAAAGTTCCGAGTTGATGAAACTAAGACAAAGAACAATTCAGTTTTTAGAAATACTGAGTAAACAGATAGCACTCCAAGAAACGGAATTCACTAAACTTGCCGAAACTGTAAAGGATCTTGTTCGTGAGAAAATTCTTCTGGAAAATTGTTTGATTGAAAAAAACATGAAAATGAAAGTGGCAGAAGGGCAAATTGAACGAATGAAGGAACAAGTGAAAATGGAAAAATTACTACTTCTCAAGGAACAAACGAAAAGTATTTCTTTACGAATGATCGATCAGGCATGTCAGACGTCTAAGGAATCACTTAAAATAAGGTAATAAATAGACTTCAGCTCGAGAATCGAAAATTGATCTTGTTACAATACTGATTGGAAAATGTCTTTAACGTTATTTAGGAGAACTGAAAATTTCTCCTCTTTGATTCTTTATCGATATTCTTTATCTCTTATTGATTCTTTACGGAAAAAAACAATTTCTAATTCATATACTTTTTTCAATTATTCTCAAGAATAATAATAATAATAATAATAATAATAATAATATTTCAATAATATAATAATAAAATAGAAATAAAAAAATAATATTATTATGATAATAATAAAAACTAAAATAAAAATTAAATGAAATAATAAATAAAATAATAGATAGATAAATAAAAAAGAAACAAGAAAATTTCCTTTTGAAAAGTCTTTAATCATATTAAAAATTAAAGAAATGAAAATTAAATTATTAAAGTAAAACTTACCTCTAAAGTTCAGTAGGATTATTGATAAATTATTACTTATTCTCAAAATAACTTAAAAATAATAATTCAAAAAGAAAAAATTTTTTTGATAATAATTTCTACTCCATATTTCATTTAATTATTTAAAAAATTTTTTAAATTATTATCATATACTTGTTAAATATTTTCAAAAATACATGAACACGATAACGAGTAAGACATAGAAGACAAATTTCAAAAGTTACTTTAAAAACTTTTTTTTCAAATTTTTTAAAATTATTTTTTAGAATGATTAAAAATTATCAATTATTCTCAAGAATAATTAAACATTCTTAATTATTTAGAAGAATACTTGAAAAAGTAATGGAAAGAAAATATTTTTTATGGAAAAAGTTTCTAGTTCACAGGATTTTGATTATTTTTTACATTTTGTAATTAATTTAAAAAAATAATTAAAAATAATAATGAATAGAGAATACAAAAAAGTATTTTTTTATTCAAAATTTCTCTTTTAAATTTTTTTAATTATTCTTGAGAATAATTAAAAATTATCAATTTTTTAGATAAAAATTGGAAAAAATAATGTTAAGTAAAACATTAATTATTTATTCGGAAACAATTTCTTGTTTATATTTTTAAATTATTTTTGAAATTTATTTAAAATTGTTAATTATTTTTAAAAATAATTAAAAATAATAATGAAAAAAGAAAAGAAAAAGTAGGTATACTTTTTGAAACAATTTCTTATTCAAATTTTGTCAATTATTTTTCAGAATAATAAAAAATTAAAATTAATTATTTTAGAGAGACATTGAAAAATATTTTTTTCAAAACAATTTCTAGTTCATAGTTTTTCAATTACTTTTTTATAATTATTTGAAATTGTTAATTATTTTCGAAAATAATTAAAAATAATTTAATGAATAAGGAAAAGAAAAAATGTTCTTTTGGTAACAATTTCTTATTTAAATTTTGCCAATTATTCTTGAGAGTAATTAAAAATTACTAACTATTTAGATAATAATTGAAAAAAAATAATGTAAATGAAAAATATTTTTTTGGAAACAATTTCTAGTTAATAGTTTTAATTATTTTTGAAAGTAGGTAATTAAAATTTTTTAATAACTTTTAAAAATAATTGAAAATAATAAAAGAAAAAGGTAAAGACTTGATTTTATCATTAATTAATAATTCTAAAAAATAATTAATATTGAAGAAAGTAATAAAGGAAGAGAAGAAACAAATTTATTTACCAATTTTTATACATATTTTTACAATTATTTTTCAGAATAATAAAAAATAATCAATTATTTAGAAAGACATTAAAAAATATTTTTTTCAACAATTTCTAATTCATAGTTTTTCAATTATTTTTGATAATTATTTAAAATTGTTAATAACTTTTAAAAATAATTGAAAATAATAATGAATAAGGAAAAGAAAAAAGTTCTTTTGGTAACAATTTCTCATTTAAATTTTGTCAATTATTCTTGAGAGTAATTAAAAATTACCAATTATGTAGATAAAAATTTTTTAAAAATAATGTAAATAAAAAATATTTTTTTGAAGACAATTTCTAGTCAATAGTTAAAATTATTTTTGAAAATAGGTAATTAAAATTTTTCAATTACTTTCAAAAATAATTTATTTATTTATTTATTTATTTATGTAGAGAAAATTTAGAGAAATTAAAAATAATAAAAGAAAAATTTAAAGACTCGACTTTATTATTAATTAATAATTCTAAAAAATAATTAATAATGAAGAAAGTAATAAAGAAAGAGAAGAAACAAATTTTCTTTTCTAATTTTTACTTCATATTTTTTCATTTATTCTTGTGAGAATAATGAAAAATAATAAACTAAAAGAAAGAAAAAGAAAATTGTTGTTTGAAAAAACTTTGATAACATTTCAAAAAGAGAAAAAAAAAGAAAATCAAAGTAAAACTAAAACTTCTTCGTAAAATTTAACATTATTGTAAATGATCCCCTGACTTTGGTGATATTATTAAGAAGCTGTTATTTTCAGTTCAACTCCGATTAGTTCATGTTCCAATACTCAACTTGTAACTTCAGAGAAACAATCGGGAGTGGACTTATTTTTTCAAATGTCAAGAGAAGTTCACCGACCAAAGAGCCTCTATGATCTGGAAGAAACAACAACAGATGGAAACATGATACGGGATCTATTTTTCAAATGTCCCAATTTCACGGACAGTGAATTGCTGGCGACATTTTACCAATAGCGTAAAAAATATATTTTTTTTAAATTGATACTTTGAATGTAAAAAAAAAAATTCACATTTATTAAGTCAGAAAAAAAACGAAGGGCAGCTGTTTTTTTTCACCATGATTTATTGAAAATGATATTTTATCGGACACTCGATTGATTTTTGTTTTGTAAATTTGAAAAGAATTGGGCTGAGAATACAGAAAAATTCTTTTTTTGAAAAAGAATGCTTATTTATAAAATAAATACGATGCGAAAGAAGGGTATTACTACTAGAAAATAAGTAGGTAAAAAATAAGAGGGTAGAAAAAATTTCCATTCACTGAACATGTAGTAAAAATTAGCATATTAATTAGTTTTTAGATTTAAGTAGTATAAGTCAATCTGAGTCAGACAAGTGTAAAATCTCTGTATAATCTGTAATTTCTATTTGATAAGTAGTAAAGATAATTTTTTTTGTAGAAAAAACATATTCTTTTTTTATTAGTTTCAAATCATAATTTTACTACTCAGATAATTGAAAGCTAAATAGAAAACTAAATATAGTTTTCAATTATCTGAGTAGTAAAATTATTATTTGGTCAGACAAGTCACACGAAATACCAGAAAATTTTGTCTTTATCCAGCAGAAGTAAGTGTCACTCTTGTAGAATAATTACTAATTTAGTAAAGATACAAATACTTTAATAAAAATAAAACGTTTTTAAACAGTTTTTTTTACTTTAAGTAGTATAAGTCAGTCTTGGTCAGACAATAAATAACGAACAGTTTTATTTTTTTGTCGCATATAACAAGGTCAGTAATTAGTTGACAAAATTCTCTCATTCTTATTATCGCAGTTCTAAAAAATAGTTTTTAATTATTTTTTCTATTTCAGTAGTAAAATTTTATTTCGGTCAGACAAAAAATTTGGACTAAAAATTATATCAAAGTAATTTAATTCACCTTTTTGTAGTAGAAACTGTATTTGCACTTAAAAACCCTAATATAATTTTAATTTTTACTTGCTTTTTATTTTAAGTAGTATAAGTCAGCCAAATTCATACACAAATTCCCAAAAATGATTAATTTTCCCTTTTTCCAAGTATAGCAGCGCTTGATTTTAAATAGACTTTTGCCTATTAAAAAGAATTAAAAATATTCAAAATAATTTAAACAAAAATTAAATTAATAGAAATTACAAACAAAATAATATTTACATGAAGCTTATAACTCCAAAGTGGTATCTCATTGGTATGTTCCACTTGAGCAGTAAAATTTTAGGAGTAGAATAATTCAGTCTTTAGTTCTAAAAAGTGTTATAGTAAATTATTATTTTAATTAATTTTTCAATGGAGATATTAGATAAAATTTTCGTTTCAGTAGTAGTATTTTGTTTTGGTCAGACAAATTTCAAATACTTGTTATGTCGGACATAATACTTTTTAATTATAATTTCGAAACACAGCAGTATATTTTTAAACAGATTTTCGATTTAAGTAGTATAGGCAAATCTTCAATTTGCAATATCAGTTAAAAAATTTTTTTTTTAATTTTTCCATGAATTTTAGTAGATTTTAATTAGGTCAGACGAAAAATTTTTAATTTTTTGTTTTCATAAGTAGTAAGAGTTGGGTTTAATCAGAAGAAAATAATTTTAACTGCAATATTGGTATGAATAACAGTTTTTAATAAATTTTGTCAAGTTCAGTAGTAAAGTTTTGTTTCGGTCAGACGAGTTTCTATTAACTGTAATTTGTGACAACAATGAATAGAAGTAATTCCTCTTTTTCGATTTAAGTAGTATAAATCAGAGTAAGTCAGACAAAAATAATAAAAACATGCTTAATAATAATTTTACAAGTAGTAAAAGAAATAATGAGTATTGTTTCAATCAATATTCTACTCTAAGTAGTATAAGTCAATTATAGTCAGGCCACACTACGATTTTAATTTTATAACAGCAGTAATATTACGTTCGTAATTAGTTTTCGTTTTAGGTAGTACAAGTCAGTCTACGTCAGCCGAAAGTTTTCAAATATACTTAATTTTCGTTTCACAACTAGTTAGTGTAAATTTTAGTCAAACAAATTTTTTTAATATTTAAAATTATTTGTAATTAACAGTTTTTAATTATTTTTTCTATCTCAGTAGTAAAATATTTCTTTCGTCAGACTATTTAATATCAGATTATCCAGTACAGAATATTGAAATATTCTTGTATTATAAGTAGTAAAATCAGGTTTCAGTCAGACAAAAATTTTACTATTTAAATTTAATTTAAATATTTCGTTTTAAGTAGTACAAATCAATCTAAATCAGCCGACAATCTCCAAATATACTGAATTCTTTAAATTGAGTTTTATTAGTAGTTACGGTCAATGTTTGTCAGACAATTTTTTTAATATTAACTATATTTATCTCCGTATTCTTTGTTACTGTAACTTCTTCAATATTATTTTCATATTCTATTATTATCTAAAATTTAAACTTAAATTCATTTTCAAATTAATTTTTATTAGAAAATTTTAGGAGAATTCAATTATTTAAATACAAAAGTAAATTATTTGTTGAATAATTGAATGTTTCTTGTTAGTCAATTCTTATAAAGAATTTTAATAACAAATTTGTAAATAATTAAATTCTTTTGATGAATTTTAATAAAATTTTTTTTTTCATTTTTCAATGAATTTGATTAAAATTGTATTAAAAATAATTGAAATTCTGTGATGAGATTTATTATTTCTGAAAATAATGGAATTTTTTAGAAGAAACTTATAAAAAATTTGAAAATATTTGAATTCCTGTGGAATTTTTTATTATTTATGAAAATAATTTTTCATAACGCGGTGCAAAAAAAGGGCACTTTTTTGCACCTTGTTAGGAAAAATATCGTTCGTAACTTGTGCGAGCAGTTGCGAATTTTTGAACCTGCACGTTTGCGTACAATTTTATTAAAATTGTTTTTAAATAATTGAATTATTTTGTGTAATTTTATTAAAATAGTAGATATTGAAAATCATCGAAATGAGGAAAATTTTTGAAAATAATTGCAATTTTGACAATAATTTTATTAAACAATTTTTGAAAATAATTGAATTTTAAAGAAGAATTTTTTTATTTATAAAATTTTATTACTTTTAAAAATAATTAAATTTCTGCAATTATTTGTAACTTCTTTAAAATTCAATTTCTTCTTATTGTTTTTTAACTAAAATTCTTCTATAAATCCAAAATTTTTAACAATTAATTAAATATATTTTGAAAAAATTAAATTAATTTTAGAAGATTTTTAATTATTAAAATTTTTCAAAAATAATTTAATTTCTCAGAAGAATTTTATTATTTTTTAAAATAATTGAATTTCTCAAAAGAATTTTATTATTTTTGAAAATAATTGAATTTCTCAGAAGAATTTTATTATTTTTGAAAATAATTGAATTTTCGTGAAAAATTTTATTATTTGGAAAATAATTGAATTTTCGTGAAAAATTTTATTATTTGGAAAATAATTGAATTTATGATTAAATTGAATATATGATTATTATAATTATAATAATATTAAAACTATACATATATTCCAATTCATATTTTATTTTTAGAAAAGATTTTTACAAAAAATTTGACAAGAATTTAAAAATTCTTGTTTTAGAAAAATTCTAATAGCAAAAACTTCTACGAGTAGTAAAATCAGGTTTCAGTCAGACATTACGATTTTAATTTTATACCAGTTTTAGCAGTACGTTTTTAATTAGTCGTAGTTCTAAGTAGTACAAGTCAACTTGAGTCAATCTCAAGACTAATTTAAAATAAGAAAATGTTTTTCTTGAATAAGTAGATTAGGTCAGTTTTAGTCAGACAAATCATTCAACAAAATTTTTAGTAGCAAAAGACAATTTTTATAAATTAGTTTCTACATTTTATTAGTAAAATAATAGTAATAGTAGTAGAAATAGTAATAGTAATAATAGTAATTGTAGTAAAATAGTAGGAATAATAATAGTAATAATATTATTAGTAGTAAAATAATAGGAATAACAATAGTAATAATAGTCGAATAGTAGGAATAATAATAGTATTAGTAGTAAAATAGTAAGAATAGTAATAATAGTCAAATAGTAGAAATAATAATAGTAATAGTAGTAAAATAGTAAGAATAGTAATAGTAAAAATTGTAATAATAGTAATAATATTTTTAGTAGTAACAATTAATAGCAACATATGTAATTCAGTAGTAAAATCAAGTTTCAGTCAGACGAGTACTTGGAAATACTTGTAAAAGAAAAGGTGAGAAAAAAATTCCAATATTTAAGCACGTAAGCTTTTATTTATCGATTTATTATTACATGATACCACTTACAAGAGGTCTAAAGTGTAAGTCGAGTAATCATAATAATAAATACACTTTAGAGCATAAATGTCTGCCTCAATAGTAAATGATCGAACGTAAACAATTTTTCATTTTTTTTTTTCTTTGGGAATGAGGGTAATTTTTTTTTTTGTCATTTTTTTTTCTCTTTTTGTTATTTCATTTTAAATAAATACACGAACTTATGCAATACATCTTTTCTGGAAATTCCGTCGTCACCTCAGTGTTTAATAATTACGTTATTAATAAATCGATTTTCATATATTTATATATAATATATATAATATATATATAACTATTTTATTTATATAAGTGATCCTATTCTTTATCTCTCTCTCCTCTTCTTACAATGACTTGCACTTTCTTTTTTTTTTTCTCCCCAAACTAACGAATTTCGCGTGAAATAACCCGCGTAATAATAGACTTTCTCTCTTGTATATTATTAATTGCCTCCTATACCGAAAAAAACTCTCCGGTCCAAAAATTTCTTTTTTTTTTCTTCCTCATTATCTCGATTGTTTTTTCTTTTTTTTGTTTTTTTTTCTTTTTTGCTTCCCTTTCATAGCCTTAACATTTATTATCAATAGAGATCTTAAATATCAATACAGCTTAGAGATTATAATCGTTACACGTCGAAATTTATTTATTTTTTTTTTTAACAAAATAAAACTATTTAATTGCTACAACAGTCAGCAAGCAAAAATGTGTTAACGCAAAGTTTTTTTTTCTATTCGTTTATTTTAAATTTTTGTTTTTGTCAATTATGAATTGTCGGTATTTTTTTTAAAGACTTTTTTCTTATGATACACATTAAGCTCCCATGTAAAAGCTTCTCGCGGGATTAAAATCACATACAAATTTTTTTTTTAATTCTTTTTCTTGCAAATATAATCGAGTGTTGAAATATTCTTCTGGACAATCAAAAGAGAAGTTTTTTTTTGGTTTCAATTGATTGTTCTGAAGATTTTTTGTTAATGCTTATGAAAAGTTAGACGAAATAAAAAAAAAAATTTAACTTAAAGAAATATTTTAATATCAAGAATTTATATTTTTTTAATTAAATAAATTTTTATTAATTTTATTAATTTTAATTAATTTCGTTAATTTAATTAAATAAACTAATTTAGTCAATTTAATTAATTTAGTCTGTTTATTTTAATATCAATTTAATTAATTCACTAAATTTAATTTAATATCAATTTTCAAATATTTAAGTGAGAATTTCAATTTATCAAAATTGGAAGTAAAAATGAAATTTTTAAAAATTAAAAAAAATTCTTTACGTAAATTTTAAAGGTGAAAAATGAGATCGACTTTCAAATTTTATTCGTGGAATGTATATATATTAAAGGATAATTGTATTATATTAAATGTATTGTGAAATTGGTGAATAAAGAGGCAACGGATATTATTGGCAACTTCCAAAATAGTCTCGCGCTTAATTACTACATTTTTTGTAAACACTCGCTGCAAATGATTATTTTCTAAATATAAAAATATCTACTAAAAAATGAGATAACCGAGCATATTGTCGCACATTTCTATAAAGAGGTGCGGCGAATGCATGTTGTGTATACGCGCGTGTCTAATAAACAGGATAATAATTTTTTGCATTACAACCAGATAATAATTTACATTCGCACTTTTTTTTTCTTTTACTTCCACTCTTTGGTAATGCGTATTTACATTCAAAAAGAGGCGCACAAATATTTTTTTAAATTCACCATCACTTTTTCTAATTATAAATTTATAATCGATTTCACACCTCGAAAATTAATTTTAATAATAAATCAATTTATTTATTTATTAAATTTAAAAATTACCCCTATAAACAAAATTCATCTTTTCCGGTATTTATCAGATGAAAAAAATTCGACAACGTTCTAATCAGAAATAATTATTCGATATCTTCACAAATTTATTTTAAAATATCGCCGAGTGATAAATTTTTATTCGGCTTTTCTTCAAAATATTTATTTTTCAATTCAATTTTTTAAATCATTTAAATCATTTAAATTTCATATTTATATTATTGGAGATAATTATTATTAATAATTATCAATTATTATTCATAATAATTTTTTTAATCAACGTTTGAAATAATTTAAATAATTTAAATCTCATATTTATATTACTGGAGATAATTCTACTTAATAATTTTTAATTATTATTCGTAATTATTTTCAATTATTATTAATAATTTTTCATAGATATTTTTAATTGTAATTATAATAATTAATTTACGGCCTTAAAAATATAAAACAACTTTTATCAAATTATTACCATCAAAAATTTTAATTACTATAATAGTGAATTTAATGAGTATTTTTTATTAAAATAACTCGTCTTAATTGAAAATAATATTGTAATAAATACGAATTTAAACAAAATTCATGCGCCTCCGGAAATTAATAACTGTAACTGTAATTATGACAATTTGTAAACTATTTGTACAAACAGGGGGGGAAAAATGCTCGGTTTTCAGAAATCGAGAAATAATCACAAAAAAAAGAGCATTTTCTTCTAATAACGCAGGGAGACATTTTTCTTATGTACAAATCGAGAAGAAAAAAAAAATTCCCTTTTTTTTACCAAAACAGAAAATTATGTAAATTCGCTAAAAGGCCGTGTTCTGCTTCAGTGAGTCAAAAATAAAATTTCAAAAATAACGAAAAATTTCAACAACAAGAATTTGTATCGTAGAAAGAAAATTATTTTTCCTCGAATCGATTCTTAATATTACAGGGACTATTTTTTCAACTATACATTTTTGAGTAATTATCGAAATTCGAAATAATAAATAATTAAGTGAATTTTTTCTTGAATTGAAAAAAAATCTCTTTGAGCAAGAGATGAGTCATTGCACTTTTTCCCAATTAAAAAAAAATATTTTTTAAAAAAATTATTTTCAAAAAAAATTGGAATAACATTTTTTATTTTCTAAAGAAAATTTTTATTTTCTTGCGAAGAAAAAGAAAAAATGTTGAACGTGACGAATAAATGCAAGAGTATTACGCATTCTTGTTTCGCATTTACACTTGTCAAATATTGTGCCTTAGTAAATATCATTTTTTGGTCTACAACGTTGAAAAATGGAGATTAAAATTTTTTTTTTTCATTCATTAAAATTAAAAATTATTTTCATTATTTTTTTTTTCCTTTTGAGATTTTTAAAAAAGGTTTTTATCTAAAGTATTCAATGTAAGCGTAATTTGCGATGCAGCCTCGACGACAATTAAAATAAAAATTATATTCCTAAAATGAAAAAAAACGCATATATTTTATAACAAACGTGCGTTTTTTGTGTCGTGTTAGGAATTTTTTTTCTTTTTTGCGTGTTGATTAGGCATATGTAGCTTTCTTTCCTCTTCGCAGTGTATTTTTAATCAGGGAAAAAAATCACTTCGAAGCTGTCTGTCAATTAAGAAGAAAATTATTTTCTTTTGAGTTTCAATTGAGAATTCAAAAAAAAAAAAAAAGCTTCCAAGTTCTTTTTCCTCTTTTTATTTAATTTCTCTTTTACGTGTACACATTGCTCAACAATCTGCAAACATACAAATCTCACTGTGTGTGATCGACACACACGTCAAAAAAAAGGAAATTAAAAAAAATCATGACTAGATAAATGAGAATCTTGTTCCTCGTTATTTTCTTCCACTTTTTCGTCTGGGGAACATTTTTTCATAAATGGTAAAAAATGCCCAGAGAATGGGAATTGTAAAGTATTAAAATTGCAGAAAATGTAATTTTTCTTCTTTTTTTATGAATGTATCACGAGCGAGGAATGTGAGCCTTTTTTTGAATTACATTCTCTCGTTTAAAGCAAAAATCTCAAATAAGTGAGAAATTGCTTTTGTTTTTTGTTGAAAATACTGAAAAGACGCACACTTTGGTTATTAATTAGTTCATTGATGAAGAATCACCGGAAAAACCGAAAGCTACAAAAGGTCTGTTTTGTGATTCGAGGATAGAGTGAGAGACCGTTATAGCATCATTATTTCGAGGCTATCGCAACTTTTATAACTTTTGCAATTCACTTTGTTGGTGCTTGAAATTCAGGCGTCACTGTCATTGGTATTACATTTGAAACTGGTATTTTGCGGGCCGATTTTGACCTGCGAAAAAATTCTTCAATTAATAACAAATAAATAGGTAATGAATATAATAATAAATTTTATAAATGAATATTTTTTTTTTATTTTAATTTGTGAGAAAATTTTAAGTTTTTTTTTTTAATTATGTTCGAGAAAAAATTTAATAAACATTTTTCTTCATTTGATTATAACAAAAGTTTTTTTGTAAATTTTTTTCTTTTCTAAAAAATTAATTCTTTAGAAACGGGGAACATTTTTAGAACTTGATTAATTATTTTCGATTCATACCTAATTTGTCCGGCGAGAAGAGGATTGATTGCATAAAGCCAGTCATAAACTTCCTTATCGCCTAAAGTTTGTAAAAGATAGCCTCGATGTTTAGTCACAACGCTGAAAATTATTATTATCATTTAATTTGATTCAGAAAATAAATTTTGTAAAATAAAGTTTAAAACTTTTTAAATTAAAAAAAAAAAATTTTACTTTTTTAAAATTAAATTAAATTCTTTTTTTTAATTTTTACTTTAAATAAATAATAATTTATTTTCAATTAATGGTCGAATAATTTTAGCATTTATTTTCATATATTCAAAAAATAAAATCTAAATTGAAACTCACCTGAAAGTATTTGGTACTTTAACCATAGCTAATTGATCCTCAGAGTATTCGACCTGTGCTGTTGCTAAATTAATTAAAGCTCTCTCAACTGGATCTTTTTCCTCTCTGAAGATAAATACATAGGGTCTACGAACGGCCTGTTGAATTTAGAAAAACAAAAATAGTTGTAATAGACTAATTTTTAATTTGTTATTGAATTCTAGTAGTTAAATTTCATTTAAGTCAGACGAAACATTTTTAAATTATTTTCATAAGTAGTTAAAGTCAGTTATAATCAGACTAATAGTAAAAATAAAAACTGTACTATTATAGTACTAAAATTAGTTTTTAATCAAATTTATCTACTTCAGTAGTAAAGTTTTGTTTCGGTCAGACAAGGATTTTCAATTGGCACTTTTTTCTGTAAGAATAGTAAAAGTAATTTTTTTCGGTAAGTATAGTAAAAGTAATTTTACGTCATAAAAATTATTTTAAGTTGAATAACTGTTGTATTAGTATTTTTCATTCATGTTTTCTATTCAAGTAGTAGAAATTTTTTTCAGTCAGACAAGAAATTTCAAATGCGTTTTATTTTTGAGATTAAGCAGTAAATATGAGTCACAGTCAAACTAAATGTTTCGGATTTTAATAAAAATAGTATTAATATGTTTTCAATCACATTTTCGATTTAAGTAGTGTAAGTCAGTCTGTGTCAGCCAAATATTTAGAAATATAATTAATTTCCATTTTATAAGTAGTTGGGATCAATTTTAGTCAGACATTTTTAATTCTTCAAATCAGAAGTAAATTACAGTTTTGATTTATTTTTTCTTGTGTCAGTAGTAAATTTTTACTTTCGTCAGACACGAATATTCGAAAACTTGACTAAATTATTTCTAAGTGGTAAAAAACGGTTTTTAATTGTAAAGAATGTTTTTAAAAAATTCTAATATAATTCTATTTCTAACTAGGTTTTAATTTTAAGTAGTATAAGTCAGTCAAAATCGGACACAATTTTTTCTTTTTTCTAAACATAGTGACCCTAATTTTTAGTCTGACAAATAAATATTTTTAATTTTTTACACTCTCAAATTAGATCAAGTTTTAGTCGAAAAAAAATTTTAATTTACTTTTTAAAGAGATTTTTAATATAATTTTCTGCTTCAGTAGTAAAATTTTGTTTTGGTCAGACAAGAAAATCAAATTCGTGAAAATTTCTTCTGTAAGTAGTAAAAACAAGTTCGAGTTAGGCATAATAATTTTCAATTATAATATCGAATCACATCAGTATATTTTTGAACGAATTTTTGATTTAAGTAGTATAAGTAAGTCTCAGTCATCCACAATTTCCAAATGTACTTAATTCCCGCTTTCTAAGTAGTTAGAGTCAGTGTTTGTCAGACAGCATTGTTATTATTTAACATAACCTGTAAATAACAACTTTTAATTATTTTTTCTATGTCAGTAGTAAAATATTTCTTTCAACAGAAAAGAATTTAAATATTCTTGTTTTATATAAGTAGTAAATCAGGTTTCAGTCAGACAGTACGATTTTAATATTCTCGATATAGTAACAATATTTTCTGTATTAGTTTTCGTTTTAAGTAGTAAAAGTCAGTCAAAGTCAGCCAAAAGTTTTCAAATATACTTAATTTTCAAAATTAAATGTTATTAGTAGTTAGGGTCAATTTTAGTCAGACAAAATTTTTAATATTTAAAGCCAGTTGTAAACGATAGTTTTTAATTATTTTCTCTATGTCAGTAGTAAAATATTTCTTTCGTCGGACAAGAATTTAAATATTCTTGTTTTATAAGTAGTAAAATCAGGTTTCAGTCAGACAGTACGATTTTAATATTCTCGATATAGTAACAATATTTTCTGTATTAGTTTTCGTTTTAAGTAGTACAAGTCAGTCAAAGATAGCCCAAAGTTTTCAAATATACTGAATTTTTTAAAATAACTTTTATCAGTAGTTAGGGACATTTTTAGCTAGACAAAATCTTTAATATCTTTAACTACTGCTATGAGTAGTAATATCAGGTTTCAGTCAGACATTACGATTTTAATTTTATAAGAGTATTAATAGTACGTTTTTAATTAGTTTTCGTTCTAAGTAGTACAAGTCAACTTGAGTCAATCTCAAGACTAATTTAAAATAAGAAAATGTTTTTCTTGAATAAGTAGATTAGGTCAGTTTTAGTCAAACAAAATCTTTTAACAAAATTTTTATCAGGAAAATACAATTTTTAGAATTAATTTTTAAAATTTTATTACTAAAATAATAGTGATATAGTAAACAATATTTAGTTTGTTATTTTAAGTAGTATAAGTCAGTCAAAGTCGGGTACAAATTCCAAAAATTTGCTCGATTTTTCTTTTTTCTATAAAAGTCCCAAGTTTTAGTGAGACAAATTTTTTTTAAAGATTATTGTTAGTAGTCATTATTAATATTAGTTGTTTTTTATTAGTATTTTCCACTTGAGTGGTAAAACTTTGTTTTGGTCAGACAAGAAGTTTGAAGTACTTGTAATTGTAAACTATAAGTAGTATAAGTCTGGTATTATTTGTAAAAAATGTTTATAAACTACCAAAAGTTTTTATAGTGTTAATTAATTCTCCATTTTAAGTAGTATAAGTCAGTTCGAGTCAGACTATCGTTTCCAAATATTTTTAATTTAAGCTTCTGGAAGTAGTATTAACAGGTTTCAGTCAGACATTATACGATTTTAAATTTTCTAACAGTATATTAACAGTTTTTAATTAGTTTTCGTTTTAAGTAGTACAAGTCAATTCTGAATCAATCTCAGACATGTTCTACAAAATTTGAAATTTAAAAATAAATAAATAAAAATTAAAATAAATAAAAAAATTTACAAAAAAAAAAAAATTTCTTTTTTGTTGAAAAAAAACTTACCACCCATCGTTTCTTCCAACCATTCGTCTTGTGCTCCAAAACGTTCAAATAACCCTTTCGGGCAATAACGGGACTAATGCGAATTTCTTCCACTTCGGGAACATAGAGAACGAGACTTTCTTTGAGCGGTGAAGTGGAACCAAGAGGCGCTGGTGCAATACTATTCGCTTGACTGGCAGCCTCTCCTGCCAATATACTCTCCTGTAATTCCTGAAGTCTCGCCCTCTCCGGGGAACTCAACCTAAAGATGCATGACTTAGAACTGCTCTTCACAATCAATCCTGTTGGCTGCAAGTAACATTCCTGTACTACCTGAACGCACACTCATTTCTTTTTTTTTTCTTTCTTTTTTTTAGCGGTTATCTAAGCGATATTTTTATTACCAACTCTGTCGACAATGACGAAAATGAAAAACAAAAATTTAATGAAACTAAAGCAAGAAATCAAAAATTTACAAATGAATTAAAACAAGAAATCAAAAATTTACAAATTAATTAAAAAATAAGAAACGAATTAATTTACTAAAAATGAAATCACAATTTTATTGAAAAGTATCAAATTTATATTAAAGTGGATCAAATTAATAATAAAAATTTGGATCAATTTTTTATTTGATCCAAATTTTTAGTATCAATTCGATGCAATTTGATCTTCTATACACAGTTTTCCTTAGGATATCAAATTGAGACAAAAAAAAGTATCAAAATAGTATCTATTTTGATACTTTTTTTGTCTCAATTTGATATCCTGAGAAAAACTGTGATCAAATTAATTAAAAAAAATTTTTAATTTAAAATTTAAAATTAAATGATTGATCGAGGAGAGAGACAGAAGTGAGTGAAATAAGCGATATTTGATGTGAAGGAGAAAAATAGCTTAAAACCGCTGTATGGGCGTTTTCAGGTATTCAAGAAAAGTTACCTGCGAAAAATCATTACGCGAATATACTGACTCTTGTGATGATGATGATATAACCGAGGACATCATCGATGTGGAAAGATCAGTTATTGTATCCTCACCAGGCGATACATCAGTAAGAACAATTGGTTCCTTACTTGGAATTCTCCCCTGAATTAATTTCACATATTTTGTCGCTAATTCACGTTCCCTCTCCGTCATTTCCCATGGCTCATAAACATCTTTGCTTGTTGATTTTTTCAATTTCACTGGACTGGCGTGCGGCTCATTTGTTGCCTTAGCCACCATATTACAAACCTCCTGCAATAATAGAACAAGATTTTTCTAATTTTTTTTTCAGTAATCATTTCCTTGATTTTTTTTTTAATATTAAAAAATTTTCTTTTGACAGTAAATAATTTTTGGTCATAAAGCGTCAATTCTGGTAAATTGAAGAAAGGAAAAAAAAATTAATCTATTTTGATAAAACATAATTCTAGTGTAAACGAAAATTATTTGTCAAAAGAAAATTTCTTTTTTTGGAAAAATAATGAAGTGATGGATTTATTTATTTTTTGTACCTTTTCACTTTTAGTGAAGTCGTGCATTGTTTTGTTGCAAAATGGAACTTTGTCAATGCCGAGTTTCTCCCGCAGGAGAAGAGTGTGTCGGACTTTTTCCACCTCCTCGAGTCTCGTTAATTTTTCCAATTCCCATTGATGATCGAAAATCAAACTATCGCCTCGTGGCCTCCAGCCGTGGAGATTTTCTTCGCCCCTAACGTAAGTGGAACTTGTGTCCAAGACTCTACGTTGTCGTCTTTGTACTCCTGCGAAAGAAAATTAATTTAATTCCAAGCTAGATTTCCTTCTCACAGGGAAAATTGTTTTCTAATTTAAATTTATTTAAATTTAAATTTAAATTTAATTTTTAATTTACTTCTTAATTTTAAATTCAATTTTAACTATATTTTTAATTAATAATTTTTATAAATTAATTATTACTTTCAATTTTAATCTTATATTTAAATTATAATTTTTATGAATTATTATTGACCTCGACTCGAAGTGATCAATAACTTGAATGTTGAATTTAATTATATTACAATTGTTCAATTTAAATTTAATTTAATTTTTAATTTAATTAAACAAAAAAAAATATTCTAGTAATTAAATTAATTTTTGGAAGAAAAAAATTGTCAAAGAATCATACCTGCTTCGGAAGCACGACGAAGTACAAGTTCATAAACTCCACTCAGTCTGTTCGCCTCCTGATTACGATAACTGCCGCTGAACAAATGTTTCAAAGATCTGGGCCCAACTCTCGCATCTCGACCGTAAATGATCATACTCAAATCTTTTGTTATAATTGCCGGTCTTCCACAGTTCTCCAACTAAGAAAATATACCAGAAATTTTAATTTTTTTGACGAAGAAAAAAGAAAATGAAGAAAACGATAAATTATGTAAGAAAAAAAGGGAGAAAACGAAAAATTAGAAAAGAAGGAAAAACGTGAAACAAAAAAAAAAAGAAAATAGATGAAAAGTAAAGAAAAAGTTGTGGAAGTCAAAAAGTTTTGATTAACTGTCATTTTTTACTGTAAGAAGTAGAAGGAATTCCACTTTTTCTACTTAAGTAGAATAAGTCAGGAAAAGTCAGACAAAAATTACCAAACATGCTTAATAATTGTTTTCAAGTAGTAAGAGAAATAATGAATATTGTTTAAATCAAAATACCACTCTAAGTTTTTTTAATTTTCGTTTTAAGTAGTACCAGTCAGTCAACGTCAGCCGAAAGTTTTCAAATAGACTTAATTTTCGTTTCACAAGTAGTTAGTGTCAACTTTAGTCAAACAACTTTTTTTAATATTTAAAATCATTTATAGATTTATAAATAACAGTTTTTAATTATTTTTTCTGTCAGTAGTAAATTATTGCTTTTGTCAGACAAGAATTTAAAAATTTTTGTTTCGAAAAAGTAGGAATATTAGAAAATTATGTAAGTAGTAAAATTAGATTTCAGTCAGACACGACGATTTCAATTTCAGAACTGTAGTAACAGTATGTTTATTGATTAATTTTTGCTCTGAGTAGTACAAATCAGTCAAAGTCAGCAAAAAGTTTTTAAATATATTTAATTTTCAAAATTAAATATTGTTAGTAGTTAGGGTCAATTTTAGTCAGACAATTTTTTCGATTTTTTATATCACTTGTAAATTTTAATTATTTATTATTTTCATTACAGTAGTAAACTGTTGCTTTCGTCAAACAAGAATTTGAAAATAATTGTTTCGGAGAATTAGGAGTTCGAAAACTTCTGTGAGTAGTAAAACCAAGTTTCAGTCAGACACTAGGATTTTATTTATAAAACAGTAGTAACAGTAAGTTTTTATTTAGTTTTCGTTTTCAGTAGTACAAGTCAGTCTAAGTCAGACGTTAGTTTACAAAAATATACTTACTTCCCGTTTTGTAAGTCAGTCAAAGTCGGGCACAAATTCCAAAAATATGCTCAATTTTTCTTTTTTCTAAAGAAGCCCTAAGTTTTAGTGAGACAAATTTTTTTAAAGATTAATTGTTAGTAGTCATTAATAGTAGTAGTATTTTATTAGTATTTTCCACTTTAGTAGTAAAACTTTGTTTTTAGCAGACAAGTAGTTTAAAGTACTTGTAATTGTAAACTATAAGTAGTATAAGTCTGGTATTGCTTATAAAAAATGTTTATAAATCACCAAAGGGTTTTATAGTGTTAATTAATTTTCCATTTTAAGTAGTATAAATCAGTTTAAGTCAGACTAAATTTCCAAATATTTAACAAATTTTAAATTGGGAAATTAAAACAAAGCATGTTAGTTTTGGTCGAACAAAATAATTTTAATTTACTTTTCAAAGAGATTTTTAAAATAATTTTCCGTTTCAGTAGTATAATGTTGTGTTAGTCAGACAAGAAATTTCAAATCCGTTTTATTTTTGAGTTTAAGCAGTAAAAATAACTCACAATCTAACTAAATGTTTAGGAATTTTAATGATAATAGTATTAAAATGTTTTTAGTCACTTTTTCGATATAAGTAGTACAAGTCAAGCTAAGTCAGACAAAAATATCATGACATTAATTATTGTTTTAAGTTTTAAACTTTTAAGTAGTAAAAATATGTTTTAAGTCAGACATTTTGATTTTAATTATAAAACAATAGTAACGGTTTGTTCTTTTATATTTAGTTTTCAGTTTAAGTAGTAAAAGTCAGTCTATGTCAGCCGACAGTTTAGAAATATAATTCATTTCCATTTTATAAATAAAGTTGGGGTCAATTTTCGTCAGACATTTTTAATTTTTAAAATCAGATGTCAAATACAGTTTTAATTTATTTTTTCTTGTGCCAGTAGTAAATTTTTACTTTAGTCAGACACGAATTTTCGAAAACTTGACTAAATTATTTATTAGTAGTAAAACACACTTTTTAGCTGTAAAGAATGTTTTTCAGTTAAAATATCCTTATATATAATTCTATTTTTAACAAGGTTTTCATTTTAAGTAGTATAAGTCAGTTTGAGTCAGACTAAAGTTTACAAATATTTTTAATTTTTTAGATTCGTAAATTAGATCATAATCAGTTTTAGTCGAAGAAAATAATTTCAATTTAGTTTTCAAATTGATTTTTAATATAATTTTTCGTTTCAGTAGTAAAATTTTGTATTGGTCAGACTATAGAAATTTCAAATTCCTATTGAAAAAAATAATTTTAATTTAGTTTTTAAAGAAACTTTTAATATATTTTTCTGTTTCAGTAGTAAATTTTTGTTTTGGTCAGACTTTAAATTTTAAATTCTTGTCGAAAAAAATATTTTTAATTTAGTTTTCAAAGAGATTTTTAATATAATTTTCCGTTTCAGTAGTAAAATTTTGTTTTGGTCAAACTAGAAATTTCAAATTCCTATCGAAACAAATATTTTTAATTTAGTTTTCAAAGAGATTTTTAATACAATTTTCCGTTTTAGTAGTAAAATTTTGTTTTGGTCACACTAAAAATTTCAAATTCCTATCGAAAAAAATAATTTTAATTTAGTTTTTAAAGAAACTTTTAATATATTTTTCTGTTTTAGTAGTAAATTTTTGTTTTGGTCAGACTTTAAATTTCAAATTCTTGTCGAAAAAAATATTTTTAATTTAGTTTTCAAAGAGATTTTTAATATAATTTTCCGTTTCAGTAGTAAAATGTTGTTTTGGTCAGACTAGAAATTTCCAACTTCTGTCGAAAAAAATAATTTTAATTTAGTTTTCAAATTGATTTTTATAATATAATTTTCCGTTTCAGTAGTAAAATTTTGTATTGGTCAGACTATAGAAATTTCAAATTCCTGTCGAAAAAAATAATTGTAATTTAGTTTTTATAGAGATTTTTAATATAATTTTCCATTTCAGTAGTAAAGTTTTGCTTTGTTCAGACTAGAAATTTCAAAGTCCTGTAATGAAACGAAAAACTAAAGGAGAAAGAAAAAGAGAAAGAAAAAAAAATTCATACACGGTTTTATTGAAAGTATCAAATTGATACTAAAGTGGATGAAATTGATGCCTTAAATTTGGATCAATTTTTTATTTGATCCATATTTTTGGTATCAATTTGGTCGGAAATTTGATACTTTCAAGTTAGCAGAAAGAAAAGTGCAGAAAAAGAAAAAGAAGAAAAAGAAGAAGAAGAAGAAGAAGAAGAAGAAGAAGAAGAAGAAGAAGAAGAAGAAGAAGAAGATAAAAATTTGCAAAAAGAAAAATATCCCACCTCAAGATATGCAGAGATGGTCATAAATATCTGTTCACCATAAGAAGTGACTCTATTGAGCAATGCCGAATTATGAAGTGAACTATCCCAAGCGGCCTCAAATCTAAACATACATCTATCGTCGCCTGGTATTTCAAGATATTCACCGGGGAATAATCCCAGTGACAAAACAGATGAATCATTATCCTCTTCCTCTGGCTCGGGTGTATTTCTAATACGTCCCACCACCAATTCCCTCACGTCCTTCCATCTCAATTCACTGGCGTGCTCATGGACAATTGTAATTCGAATTCGCCGCTGAATTCCCTGATGCAGAAGGAATAGACCGCGACAAGGCAAGTCATCACTGTGATCAACGACTGATGGAACGTATTCTCCATTTGGTGCCAATTCACAAATTTCAAACCAAACCAAAACATCGTATTTGGCATGAACGTGAGATGTACTCGGCGATGGTAGGACACTGCCAAATTTAGGTGAGCGCACTGGTTGGCTGATTGGAATCGAGGGCGGCAACATTCGCTTCGGTGGCTGCCTCACGCTGTTGACATTAATTTCATTTTTATCTTTATTTATTCATTTTTGTTCATTCATTTAAATTCAATCATTTCTTCCACATTTTTTCTAAGGATATCAAAATTGAGACAAAAAAGTATCAAAATTGTTGCATTGCAACAATGATACTTTAAAAAAAACTTATAAAACTTAACTTAACTTAACTTTATAAAAATGTTTTATTTTTTTATTATTTTTTATTATTCTTAGGACGAGCCCTAAGAAAATATAGTAAATTTTGTGAAAAAGAAGAAACTTACTAATCGAGTTTAGCATCTTTATGCAACGGATGCTGCTGATAGTGGCCAAAGACTTCGAAAACAATTGGTTGGGTTTTTAGGTACTCCAAAAAGGACTTGGTCACTGTAACCGTTATCTAAAAAAAAGATTCTTTTTTTATTTCTACAATTCTTGAAAGAAAGGAATCACATCTTCACGCTATCAAAAATTATTTAACAATAGGAATGACAAATTTTACACAGTAAAATCTTTGATAGCGCAAAGAAATAAACAAGTAGTACTCCTACATTTTGAACATGATAGAATCCAGGTGGATTTCCCTTTCCAGTATTTTTAACCGGTTCTGTAGAAAAGGCCTCATCGTGCCGATGTAGAAAGCTAAGGAAAATAATATGGAAATTAATTTCGAATTTAATTTGTTAATCTCAATTCTCAATTCGTTGTTTTATTTTTGTATTTTATTTTTTTGTCTGCTTATTTTACAAGAGTGATTCTCCACGAAGTGGTAACTTTTCCTTACGGTAACTTTTTTTTAAATTAATTTTTTTTTGTTTCAAAACGATTAAAATAAGCTTTGTGTAAAATAAATCATAATTAGACTTTATAATTTCTGTGTGGAAAATCGAGAAAAGTGCATTTTTTGAGTCTTCTCCGATTGCAGGCTTCGAAAAATTAAATTTGACGACTCAATTTTTTCATTATTTCTCTAAAATAAATTACATTCAGAAATAGAATAATTTTTATTTTCAATAAATATTTAAATATTTAAAAGTTAAAAAAAATCCAAGACTTTCTCATTTTTGATGAGAATGTAATAATTCAAGTTAAATTCAATTGATAAAATAAAATAATTTCTGTGAAAATAATATACATATAATCGAAAAAAATTATTTAAAAAAATACAAATTCAATTATTTCGAAGAAAATTTAAGTTCTTTATAAATAACTAAAGTCTATTATAAAAAATTATATTCAAATTGTATTGAAAATAATTGAAAATTTCAGAAAAATTTTATTATTTTTATGAAAATAATAATTGAATGTTAGCCAAGAATTTTATTAAAAAATTTTTTTAAATAATTGAATTCTTTTGGGGAATTTTATTTAAATAGTAAATATTAAATATTGAATATTCTATTAAACAAATTATATCAAAATTCTTTAAAATAATTAAATTCTTTAGAAGAATTTCATAATTTATATGATAATAATTGAATTCTTGCGACGAATTTAATTAAAGAATTCTCTTTAAATAATTAAATTCGTTTGGAAAATTTTATTTAAATTAATTTTTCACGAAGAATTTTATTTTTTTCAACATTTTTTGAAAATAATTGAATTGTTACGAAAAGTGTTATTAGAATTTTTTAAAATAATATTTCTTAAAAAAATTTAATTTTAAATGTATTAAAGATAATTAGAAAATTCTAATAAACAAATTATATCAAATTTTTTTGAAAAAAATCAATAATGGAATTCTTTTGATGAATTTTTAAAAAATTTTTAAGAATAATTGCATTTTTCGAGGAATTTATTTAAAATTGTGTTAAAAATAATTATCAATATCCTGCTATGAGTTTTATTATTTCTGAAAATAATTAAATTCCTGCATCGAATTTCAGTAAATTTTAAAACGATAATTTTCCTCAGAAAAATTTTAATATTTAGAAAAATAATTGAATTCTTGCGAAGAAATATTAATTTTTTTTTTAAATAATCAAATATTCTTAAGAAGAATTTAATAAAAATCTTTGTTAATAATTGATTTTTTTGAAAAATTTTATGAAAATCGTGTTTTATTTTTAAATAATTGAATTCTTGTGAAAATAATTGAATTCTTGAAACGAGTTTCATTAAAATTTTTTTTACAATTATTGAAATCGTTTGGGAAATTTTATGTAAATAGGAAACAATAAAAATAATTGAATTTCAATATATTGAATTGTTACGCAAAATGTTATTATTAAAATTTTTAAAAATAATTATATTCTTTCAAAAAATTTTATTTAAAATGCATTGGAAATAATAATTAAATTCTAATAAACAAATTATATCAAAATTTTTGAAAATAATTGAATTTTTTCGAAGAATTTTATTAAAATTTTTAAGAATAATAATTACATATCCCTAACAAGCATTTTACTATTATTTACAAAAATAATTGAATTCCTGGGAAGAACTTTATTAATTTTTTTTTTAAATAATTGAATTTTTGGCGAAGAATAATTTTACGAAAATCTTTTTAAATAATTAATTTTTTTCGAAAAATTTTATGATAATCGTGTTTTAATTTTCAAATAATTGAATTCCAGTTAAAGTTTCATTTTTTTGTAAATAATTGAAAGTTTACAAAGAATTTAAAAAAAAAATTTACTCATTCAATTCTTTTGGGAAATTTTTTATTAAAATTGTAAATATTGAAAATAATTGAATTTCGAAAAATTTGTCAAAATAATTGAATCGTTTAAAACAATTTTTATTTACATCTATTGAATTGCTTCTAGGAATTTTATTAATAATTGTGGAAAATAATTTTTTTATTTCAACTTTTTGCGAATTTAAAAGACTATTTTCAAAAAGAGGAAAAAAGTGGCTTTTAGTGTCATAAATTTTTAAAAAATAATCCAAAGTCATTTTTTTTACTTTACTTACTATTTACTTACAATTTACTACTTTTTTTTTTTAACGATTTGTAAATAGTTGATTTTAAAAAAACGAAGCCTGTAATGGAATTATAATTTTTGTTTAAGAATAGAAATTATTTTCGATTATGATATTACTAAAAAAAACTGTGAAAAATATAAATCTTCTTTAATAACTTTAAATATTATTTTCAAATTTGCTTCAAACTTTTTCACAATCAATTAATTGTGCAAAAGTTTGAAGCAAATTTTCTTAATTTTTAAATTATTTTCAAATCTCCTTCAAAACTTTATTTTTAAATTTGAAAATAATTTGAAAATTTGCTTCAAATTTTTTTACAATTAATTAGTGGTTCAAAAGTTTGAATAAGATTTGAAAATAATTTTTAAAGTTAAAAATAGGAAACAGTGGGAAATGAAAAATGATCACTGAGTAAAGAATCACTAACAATTATTAAAAAATTTGTATATACTTGAATTGGCAAAATATATCAGCGTATTCAGTGGAAATTCCCATTGCTTGTAGAACAGTGACTCGGAATGTGAATTCAACGCCAGATTGAAGATGATCTGGAAGATCCTCCTCCTTCATATCGCTTGACACTGAACTATCGCCCCTACCACTGTCAGCGTCGCCAACCTCCTCCTCGTCCTTAATATCCTTAGTCTCAGTATGTCCCTCGACAACTCTCTCCTCCTGCAGGAGAATTTGCTGATTCTTCTCGAGTGTCTGCGCCAGAAGTGTATTCCGCTTACTGTGCTTATGACCACCGAATAAATCATCTTCAAACGAAATTCGTGCCGACTGTCGAACGCCACTTGAATATTCACTGTTTTCCTCTTCTGGAAGAAGTGTCCATTAAGATTCTGTACTGAGGGTGAAAAAATGAAAATAATCCACGAAAATCATACATACCCACGACGGCTTGCACCGCAACTCGCAAATAGCCCTTCACGTCGCCTTTCTCATTGACAATTGCAACTTTGTGGATTAATGGCACCGGATACATTAGATTGCTCAAGTAAACGAAGGATCTGTTTGGAAAATTATTTTTTCTTTTATTTTTTTTTCTACTCGAAACTCATGAAATTTGATATAAATCATTAAATGTCCACAGTTTTTCAAAGATGGGGGCAAAAAATTAGGTGCAGATTAAAAATAATTTCAGAGCTCGAACCAGTGAAAGTATTTAAAAATACAGAGACTTTACGGACCAAAAATTAAAAATTACGGACCAATTACTGACAAAAATTAAATAACTTTCAAATTTATATACTTAAAACTATTAATTAAATTTTTCATAACTATAAAACATGAAATAGATAACTCCGAGTCTTCGACTCGAAGTTTTTCTTTATGTTTTACAACAATAAAAGATAACCAAGTGATAAAATTGTTAAAAATTTATAAATTACTTTTTTTTTTTTTTTTGAAAAAATGTTTTCCTGGAAAAAGAAATAAAAATTGATTTAAATAATTTTAAATGAAAGTAATTATTTTAGAATTTATAAATAAATTCACATTTATATTAAAAAGAATTTAATTATAAAATTAATATTTTAAACTTTAATTTTAGAAAATTTTGTTTATAGGTACAAAAAGGAAAATAAAATTTGTAAATTCTTCAATTAAATATATATTCGAAAATAAAAACTTTAAACAATTTTTTAAAAAATCCGCATATTTATTAAATTTTTTCAAAATTATTTTATTCTTTAGAAAATATATATTTTAAAATAGATATTAAAAATCATTGAATTGAGGGAAATTTTTGAAAATAATTCAAATTTTGCCAAGAATTTTATTAACATTTTTGAAAAAAGTTGAATTTCAGAGAATAATTTTATTATTTATAAGATAATTGAAGTTTTTGAAAATTCTTATGAAAAATTTTTGAAAATAATTGAAATCTTGTCAAGATTTTTATTAAAATTTTTTAAAATAGTTGAATTTCAGAGAATAATTTTATAAAATTTATAAGATAATTGAAGTTTTTGAAAATTCTTATGGAAAATTTTTGAAAATAATAAATAATTGAAATCTTGACAAGAATTTATATTAAAATTTTGCAAAATAATTTAAAAAAAGTTTTTTTGAAAAAGGTTTTTTGAAAAAGATTTTTTCAAATCGAAATTTGTCTAAAACATCAAAAAGTCGAGGCAGAAGATAAAAAAAAACCTACCTTCCAACCATACGGAACCAGGGGAATCGGTCATAGAATGGATCTCCTCCAGTGATCGTTTCGATGTTATAATCGGGAGAAGTCGGTGATAATTCAGCTTCATTGTGATACATTTCTCTCATCAATTCAAGTCGCTGTCTATAAATAAAAATCAATAAAAATTTTTTAAAAATTTTCTTTTTCGACAATATGGAGAAAAACATGCTTTTGACTTCAATTTCTATAACGATTTTGTGAACATCTAGAATGACATCAAAGAGAATTATTTTCTTTCCTCTCTTTGATCAAACATTTAGACACAAGCAATTATCAGGGTTGTCACAAAAATTTTATTTTCGATTTTTCCTGATTTTCTGTTTTCCAAATTTTTCCCTGATTTCCTAGACTAAATTTTAAATAAATTTTTAACTAAATTTTAACTAAATTTTAACTAGATTTTAACTGCAATGATAGTAGATATTCTGTCTTTTCGTGAAATTTAATTATTACTAAAGATTTCAATCAGAATTCTTCAAAAGGAATTTATTTATATTAAAGAATTTTTTTTTATTTTATTTTTTTTAATGAAATAAGACTCAAATTCCCTAATTTAATTATATTCGATAATAATTTAACAATTAAACAAAAATTTTGAACTAAACAGTCGTTCAGTTCAAAATTACAAAAAATTTAAAAAATATTATTTTATTTCCCTGACTTGGAAGGAATAATATTTATCAACTCTTTAAATTTTTATAAAATTTTGGATCAAATTCTCTCAAAAAAATGTCTTTTATTCAATTCTTTAATTTTAAAACTTCAAACATTTCTGATGTTAAAATTTTAAATTCTAACTCTATTATAAGTTTTAATTATTTTTAAGTGAAACGTGAATTTTACTTTTTTTATATTTATTTACAAAATTCAACTGTAAACAAAAAATTTGAATTCAAAATTTTCGGGAACCTTAGATTTTTAGAATTTTTTTATCAAAATCATTTGTTTTTAATAATTTTAAAAACCCAAAAATATTATTTATTCTTTTTCTTTATTAGTCATGAATTTACTTATTTATTATTTATTTTCAATAAAAATTTTCAAACCATTTAAGTCAATCCATACTTTTATAAAAAATATGTTTTTGTATCTACAAAATAATTTCTGAATAAAAAATTGATTTTTACAATTTTTCAAGCATTTTTTTGAAAAAAAATTGCTTTTAAGTTGAAAATGCTAAAAAATACCATTATAATTCAATTTTTTTAAAAGGAAATTAATTTTTCCAACTAATTTCAATTCAATTTTTTAAAATAAATTAAATTATGATAAAATTACGATTTGAAATTAGTTAGAAAAATAAACAAGTTAATTTCCATATAAAAGATTGTATAATAATCGTATTTTTAGAATATTCAACCTAAAAACAATTTAAAAAAAAAAAAAATGCTTCAAAAGTTGTAAAAATAAATTTTTTTATCCAATAATTTTTTTGTAGATACAAAAACAAAATCTTTGTTACACAGTCAACCAACAATTATATTTGAATTAAACATAATAATTTTTATTCAATACATAATATGTTTGATTCAATAAAAATTGCATGTTTAATTCAAGAAAAATAATTCAATAATAAATATGTCTATATGTTTTTAGTTGGCAACTTATTTTTGGATAAAAAAATTTTTTCCCACTGAAGAAGACTTTTTAAAATTGACAGCGATTTTTCTCGAAATTTTGATATGAAATTTCCCGAAATTTCCTTTTTTTACCAATTTCCCTTAAACTGTGGCAACCCTGAATATATTTTTAAAATAAAATTTTCCCAAAATGAATTGAAAAAAACAATTTCTAGAGAATTAAGTACAAGTATAGTTAGCGAGCACAAGATTTGAAGAAGTTCCTCCCAAAACTCGTATTCGCATAAATTATTCACTCGTACAGTCCCTAGAGTGTAAATTTTCCTCTTATAATATAAAAATGAGTGATTAATGTTAATGACGATACATTTTAAAGCAAAAACGGAAAAAAGCTTTTTTTCTTGTCAAAAAAAAAAATGTATTAAATAAATATTAACTAAGTATTGGAAATTCGATACTTAATTAGTGATAAAGCGAGGAAAAAAGCACCCATTTGCAATTATTAAATGATCGAATATTGCTCTGTAAAAAAAAGTATGTGCGTTTCTAATTCTATATAAGAATGAATTATATACAATGCGAAATAGAAATGTTTCTTTCTTAGTGTGTTATGTTTATTCTTTTCTTTTTTTTTGTTTTTTTTCTTTCTTTTGTTTCTTTTTATTTTTGTTTTTTTATTTTTGCTTTTATTTTTGCTTTTATTTATTTTTTTTTTAATTTTATTTTTGTTTTTATCTTTGTTTTTGTTTTTGTTTTTATTTTTGTTTTTATTTTTTTTTAAGAAAATTGAATTTAAATGAAGCTGGGAAATAATAATTTTTATACTATTCGCGAAAAGCTGCACGTTGCGATTATAGTGTCGTGCGACCGAGCACCAACCTCGAAGGCAAAAGATTTGCGAACGATAACTTCGGATTTGAGTGGACCATAAGACATTGGAAAATATCCTCTTTAGCCTCCGGAGTGTTGAGACTCAAGTCTTCATTGTAAATATGTCGCATCAGTTCCAAGCGTTGTCTACAATTCAACATTTACTTTGTTAGTGTCCATTCACAGTTTTTTTTCCTATTTTTTCTATTTTTTAATTGCTCTTTCTTCTTTAAAACTGTGAATCGTCACTTTAGCATTTGCAACTGAATTTACAGCAATATTTTCATTTATTTCAATTCTTTAATTATTTTTTACTATTATCAGTAGCAAAATAAATTAATTTTTATTAACCATAGTTAAAAAAATAATTATTAATTTTTAGAATTAGAATTATTATTTTCAATATTGCTGTAATTTCAGATTTTTTTTTCTCTACTCTTAATGGTTTGGGTAATTTTCAATTTTTATTAGAATCACTCCAAATGTTCTCCTAATCGATGGAATGATTGAAATAAAATAGCTACTAAGCAAAAATGAGAGAGAGAGAGAGTGTAATCTAATTTTTCTACTCGTAGTTCGTCGATTTTCAAAATCCAACAATAATTTTTTCTTCTGGAGAATTTTTTCTTTACCTGAGTTTATCTAAAGTCCAATAGTGAGTGGCGCCATTTTTCGTGTCTTGAACTTCAATTGCAACAATTGTTCTAGGAAATGGTCTCTCGTCCTCCTCCTCATCTTCTATCGCTGGCAAAAGATCAGGCGGCAATGGCGAGTACAGAGTATCAGTGAGGAGTATAAATTGAAATTGTACCTAAAAGAATTTAAATACTCAAAAAAAAAATCATCCAAAATAATTTTAAAACTCTACCTTTTTATTTTTGAGAAAAAAAATTTTTTTTTCAACATTTTGAAAGATTAAAAAAATTTTAATGAGAGTAAAAAAAAATTTGAAAAGAAAATCTCAAAAAAATTCTCAAAAGAAAATCTCAAAAAAAATCTCAAAAAGAAAATCTCAAAGAAAAGTCTCAAAAGATTAAGAGAGTCTTGAAAGATTTCTTCAGGGAAAAAATATTTTTTTTTCGTACCTTCTTCTTGAGTTCGACAGAAATGGCATTTGCCTCCTTTAGGAAAATGGCATTACCCCAAAGATCATCGCGAAGACTTGTAAATTGATGATATTTCCATTTACGAAATGCCCAAGCAGCCAACTGAAATTCCCGTTCTCCCCAGTTGCTCTCTGCGTCAAACAATGGGTTGACTGAAATTCAAGCAATCACCAGGCAAAACAGTCAGATAAGCCAAGCAAAAAATCTTCAGAAAAAAAAATTCCCCCAGAAGAAAATGCAATTACTTCCAAAAAAGGCAGAAAATATTTTCTTTTATTTTTTTAGGTTTGCAATCTCTTTTGCGAGAATTCGATGATAAATGAGAACAAAGAGAATAAAAAGTTATTTTTTGTCTAAATAAAAAAAAAGATATCTAAATTTGTCGAAAATGAAAAGAAAAATAAATTAATTACTTTGATAGAAATGTTAATTTACCACTTTAGGAGTAACACCTTTTTAAAAAAAATTATTTCACGATTTTTCTTTAATTTCCCACAGAATATGAAACATTATAAAACAGTCGTTTGTGTAGAATTCATTTTGTTTGGAACAAAAACTTTTAATTAGTTTCTAGTCGATTCTGATTTCCCAGGAGTTCCAACTCCCAAGAGAGCGGAGCTCCTTCTGCCCTCTCCGCCGTCGACCGCGCGTCTTTTATACTAAACAGACGCTGCGCTCCGATTGGTCGACAATTCGCGCGACTCTAATTGGCTGCTCTCGCAGTGAAAGCGCGCCAAAGGTTCTTTTCATTTTTCTTTGACTCTTTTCAACAAATATTCGTCTATTCCTAAACTTTTTTTTCCCTTCCACACTTTTTCTTAGAGAAAAAAAAATAAAAAAATGAATAATAGAAAAGTAAAAAAAAAATTTTTTAATACAAAAAAATAAAAAAATTGTAAAAAAAATAAATTAGTCCGTCGAGAGAGAGAGGTGTTACCCCATAAGTAAAATAAAAACCGAAAGTAATAATTTAATACGAAAGCAAATTGAATAATTGATAATGAAAAAATGAACGATTGCGTGTATTTATAGTAATTATCAAAAAAGTGAATTTTTAAAATCATGCAGATTTATTGAGTGCTTTAAAAATATTAATTTCAACTCCAAACTTTCAAGTACAAAAAAATAAACAAAAAATAATAATAGTGTTAGTTAATAAGGGAGAAACATTTTTTAAAAAAAATTTTTGTAGTTAAAGGAAAAAATATTTTTGTAGATAAAGAAAAAAGTAAAGAATAACAATTTTTTTTTTAAATAAAGGAAAAAAATTATAAAATAGTTCTATATAATCACCGAAAATGTCTTCTTCTATATTATTAAAGTCTTCCGGAGTGTAACTGCTATACATCGACATTGTCATACTTTGTTCTTCAACTTGTTTCTGTAAAGCGTCGATTCTTGCCTCGTAATTCTAGAACATTTAAAAAAAATGTAAAATTTATTAAAATTAATAATATTATTAATTATTAATTGTTACTTAATAATGATAATTTTTCACTGACATTTTTTGTTTACAAATTTTTTAGGTTCATTTGGAAAAAAATATGAGGAAATTTCTGTTTTTTAATCACAATTTATAACGAAATTATATTATTTTTTTTGAAATTAATGAAAAAATTGTGCAGAATATTTATTTTATATAATAATTGTGTCTTTCTTTCTTTTTAAAATATTGTTTGTTTCTTTATAAAAATTAAGGAAAAAGAAATAAATTTGGACCATTTATATTTTTTAATCGCAATTTTTTAACAAATTTTTCAGTATTTTTTTAGTAATAAATAAAAAAAATTCTTTGTTCCTTTATAAAAATTAAATAAATTTGGACCATTTATATTTTTCAATTACAATTTTTTAACAAAGCTTCCAGTTTTTTAGTAATAAATAAAAAAAAATTCTTTGCTTCTTTATAAAAAAATGAAACAAAAAGAAATAAATTTGGACCATTTATATTTCTTAATTATAATTTTTTAGCAAAGCTACCAGTTTTTTTTAGTAATTTAAACAAAAAAAAAATTTTTCCTTTCTTCACTACAATTATTTATCAAAATCTCAGACATTTTTAGAAATAAAGGAAATTTTTTTTTATAACTTCAATCATAATTTGAAAACTTAAACAAAAATTAACTCAGAATGTGCACTAATTTTAGTAATTAAATTAAAGATATTAAGTTTCTTGGTTTGTAACTCTAAACATATTTTTTTAAAATAAAAAGTGAAGAAGTATAAAATAAAAGAAAATACAAAAAATAAAAAATCAATTACAATTGATGAGAATGGTACTAAAATGTCAAGAGACAAAATAAAAATATAGAAATAATAAAAAAATACCTTTCTTTGTTCTTCAAAAAGTTGATCTGCTTCCTCCTTTTCCTTTCGAAATTGCTCCTCGAGAACAAGCAATCTCTTCTCCATTTCAACTTTAAGATCGATTCCCTGCTTCTCGAGAAGTTCAATTTGTGCAAAATTCCAATCAACAGTTTCCCCATTTCCTGGTGTTTCGGCTGGTGAACTTTTCTCCCTACGCTCACGAACTGAAATCAAGGAATAAGGGATGAAATTTGGAAATTTTCATCAAAAAGTTCAATAAAATAAAATAAATAAAAAAATCCCCTCTTACCTTGATCCGGATGATTAAATCGAAAAACGTGATTCTTTCCAAGAATTACTCGTGATCCAGTTTTCAAAATAATTGATTCCGTCACTTCGCGACCGTTTACGTAAATTAGAGCACCTTTTCTTGGTATTAAAGTGACAATTCCTGAAAAAAGAAAATTTTTTTTTATAGAAAATAGAAATTATTTTTAAAATTATTTTATTATTACAAAAAAATAGAAAAAAGGGAAAGTGAATTTTGTAAATAATTTTTTGGAATAAATGAATGATTGACAAACCTTCGTGACTTTCGAAAACACAATGCTCGCTGAGAATGTGTGGACCACAAAGTTGAATATCTTGGGGAATGTTTGCCTCGGCACTTCCAACTCTTGTGAAACCCTCCTTGATGTAATAAATCAAACATTCAGACATCGAAGGATCTTCATTTAAATTCACCAAATGCGGTGTTTTCTTTGGAGAAAATACACCAACAGTTACGCCGTCTTCTTTTACTGCGACGCCCATTTCCGCAAATACAGCTTCACGTTGCAGGCGAATTGCTTCTGTTCGTTTTAGTTTCTCCTCCCATGTCTCATTCAACTCTTTAAATGGTAAATGAAAAAAATTATTTTTTCTTTATTATTTTTCAATTTATTTTTTTTTTTTGTGCTATAGTGTAAATATAGAAGTAAATGAAGAAAAATAGAAAAAAGTGAATAAAAAAAATGAAAATAAGTATTTTTTTATTATTAAACTTTTTGTGCTGGTAAATAGAAATAAATGGGAAAAATAGAAAAATGAATATAAAAAAGAACAATAAAAATAAGTAGAATTCTTTTACTCTTTCGTACTTGTGAAAAAAAATTCATAAGAAAAAAAATAAGTACACCTGATAAATAAAAGCAAGTGTAAAAAAGAAATAATAAAAAATAAATAAGAACAAGTACAAAAAAATAAAAGAAGCACATAAAAAGAATAAAGAGAAGTTCAATAAATAAATAAAAAGTACAAAAAATAATTAAAAGAAGTACATAAAAGGAAATGAAAGAAGTTTAATAAATAAATAAAAAGTACAAAAAACTAACAGAAGTACAAAAAATAATTAAAACGCTTTCAAAAAACTAAAGGAAGTATAAAAAAATATATAAAATAAAATACAAAAAGTAAATAAAATTCAATACAATAAATAAATAAAAACGAGAACAAAAAATTAATTGAAGTAAAAAAAATAAAAGAAGTACATAAAAGGAAGAAAAAGAAGTTCTTTAATTAAATAAAATGTACAAAAAACTAAAATTAGTACAAAAAATAATTAAAAGAACTTTAAAAAACTAAAGGAAGAAGCAAAAAATAAATAAAACAAAAAACAAAAAGTAGACAAAATTCAATAGAATAAATAAATAAAAACGAGAACAAAAAATTAATTAAAGTACAAAAAATAAAAGAAGTACATAAAAGAAAGTGAAAGAAGTTTAATAAATAAATAAAAAGTACAAAAAAGTAAAAAAAAAAGTACACAAAAATAAATAAAATACAAAAAATACAAAAACTGAAGAAAATTCAATACAAAAAATAAATAAAAACGTGTTCAAAAAAATTAATTGAAATACAAAAAAATAACAAAAGTAGATAATTAAAATAGGAAGAAGTACAAAGAAGTACAAGGAATATATCAAAATAAATAAAAAAAAGTACGAAAATAATTAATTAAATAAATTAATAAAAATAGATTCAAAAAAACAATAGTTAATAATTAAAAATTAAGTAGAACATAGAAAGAAACAAGTAAGAGTCAATAATTAACTAAAATAAATAAAAAAAAACTAATTCAAAAAAAAATCCTACCGGCTATGAGTTTTTCTGAAGCCTGCAATTGTTCAACGGCCTCTTCGGCAAGAGTCGACGTCGGATGAGACGGAATCCTCTGTCGAGATTCCTTCATATCACCCTCTCGTTTCGACCTAATGATTTCATCTCCTAAAAAAATTTTTTTCAGTCAACATTTTTCGAAAAAAAATTGTGTCAAACAATCACGCAACAATTTTTTTATAAATAGCATCAAAAGATAAATTTTAAATTCCAAGTTCTTTTTTTTAAATAATTTTTAGAAAAACTGAAAATTTTAAGACGACACGCTGGACACTGAAAGCCACACATAAAAATATAATTTTGTTTTCATCTATTGTAAAGTTTTATGCTTATTCTTTATAAATAACAAAGTAAAATATAATATTTTTCATTTACAAAAGTAGACAAGGCAATGGAAAATAATAAAAAAAACTCTCTGCATTAAAAATTAATATTTATTATTAAATATTGAATGTTAAATTAATTTAATTAGTGTTTATTGATCATTTTTTCCAAACACTTGAAAATATTAACTTTTTTTAATTACTATTTTCATTTTTAATAAATTAATTCCCTGGTGATTATTTTTGTCCTTCCTTCAACAGAAAACTGAAGGTAAAGAAAATAAATTTAATTTCTTAGAATTTCGTTATTTATTTAAAACCATTTATTTCCCAAGTTGACGAGAAATCATTCTGCACAGTCTAGACTTGATTTAATTTATTTGGAAATCAGGGGCAGTTCACTCAGAGGTTCAATAAACGAGACAACGCTGTGCTGAAAGTGATTAAAAAAAGGGGAATTTCGTTTAATTAATTTCCCCTTCGAAAGACTAGAAATCTTTTTTTTTTTGAACCACAATTCCAAATAAATGTGACACGAAAATTACTTTTCGGGTAAAAATACAAATTTTTTTCGTTTAAACTATTAATACTTATTTTCATTAAAATTTCTTTTAGTTTCTTTAAGTTTCTACTTTCTAGTTTCTTTTTTTTAATTTCAATTTTGTTTCAATTCGAGAAAAGCAATATTCGAAAGATTTCGAATTAAAAGAAAAAGAATTGCAGTTAAAAAGGTAGCCAAAGCAAAAAATTATTAAACAAAAACAAAAAATTATTGTGAAGTTAAAAAAAAAATTGGAAGCCTTTAAAAAAAAGTGAAAAATAGTCTTTTTTTTCTGGTGAATAATTCTACTTACTGGATATTTTCTTTTTACAAGTGATTCTACCACCTGGATCAATGTCGAGCATAAATGTAAAAAAAAGAAAAGAAAAAAATTCTCAAAATTTATTTCTTTAAGGGGCAAAAAAAAAATTTCTCTCTCTTCTTTGAAAAATTTAACACTTATCATTTGGACTCGTTGAAAAAACTTATTTCCCAAAAAAGAAAATTTAATAGATAAAAATTTCTTTTTTGAGAAAATAAAATTTTTTTCCATAAGAAAAATACTTTTTCTTTGAGACTCACCCTCGTGATAATCGATGCCTTCTTGTTTGAGAAGTTCTCGAAGTTTTTGAATTTCCTCCTTGAGTTCTCTGATGAGTTTGGCATTTGCATCCTCATTGACAACGGCCTTGCAAACAATTTGTTTCGCTCTGTCCGCATATCTGCATTGACAATAAAAAAAAAAGAAAGAAAAAAAAAATTAAAAAATATTTTATTATTAATATTTTGATAATTTAATGCTATTAATATTTTATTATTAATATTTTGATAATTTAATGTTATTACTATTTGATTATTAATATTTTAATAATTTAATGCTATTTATATTTTATTATTAATATTTTGATAATTTAATGCTATTAATATTTTATTATTAATATTTTGATAATTTAATGCTATTAATATTTTATTATAATATAAATAATATATTTTGTTAAATTTTGAAAATCGGATCTCAAAGGAAAAAATATTGATTACCTTAGAGTCGAAAGTGTCTCGTCATAATTAATATCAGCGGGACTGATTGCTGCAATCATTGCCGTTTTCGAATTGCCTCCCAAATTTTCACGAAGAAGCCAAGTCAGGACTGAATCTCTATAGGGAATGAAATCTGCTTTCTTCTTCTTCTTTGTTGCCTGTAATTAGTCATCGAATTAATAGAAACTAGAAAAAGGCAAAAAAAAAAAAAAAATAAGGAAACTAAAAAGAAACAAAAAGACTAAAAAACTAAGAACTAAAAACTAAAGAAACTAAAAAGAATCAAAAAGACTTTTAGTCTTTTTGATTCTTTTTAGTTCCTTTAATTTTTTAGTTTTTAGTCTTTTTTTAGTCTAAAAACTAAAGAAAATAAGAAGAAACGAAGAGAAAAAAATAAAAATACTAAAAGGCTAAAAATCTAAAGAAAATAAAAAGAAACAAAAGAACTAAAAGGCTAAAAAACTAAAAAAGCTAAAAAGAAAAGAAAAGACTAAAAAACTGAAAAAGCTATAAAAAACAAAAAAAAGCTAAAGTAAATAAAAAAAATTTATTTAGGTTCGAAAATTTCTAGCTTAATTAGCAAGCAAAAGGAGACTTACCGCCTTTATTATTGTATTTTTAATTCCAAATGTGAAAAAGATTGCAAAAGGAAAAGCGTTGATTTAGCGATACAGAATTTTCTATATTTATTTCTTCAATTTTTTTTTTCTATTTCTCGAAATGAAAATGGAGTAATTGAAAAAGGAAAAACTTACAATTTCAGCAAGTGCACTAATGACTTTTCCAAGTGTTGTTAAACTTTTATTGATATTTGCGCCCTCCTTCAATCTCGTTCCTTTCGCTCCTGTCGAGTCTGCCCTTTCCGAGCCCGCTAAATCGACAAGCGAAATTTTACTGACTTTCTCCGTAATTAATCCCGTAATTGAGTCTTGTTTCTGTTGTGTGAAGAAAATCGTAAAGACAGCGTGCGACCTACTCGAGGTCTCGTTCATATTCGTAGCCGCCACGGTTCTTTAAAAAGAATGCAAAAAGAAAAAAAAAATTAGAAAACAACTTTTTTTTTTAATTACCACATTTATTAGATTGAAAAATGTAAGTGAGAAAACGTAAAAAATATGTCTGACTTATAATTTATTTCTACTACTTGAAAATATTGATAATTATGAAATAATAATAATAATTTACATCTCACTAATAATTTTCTTTTACTACTTGCAAATCTTGATAAATAACGAAATAATTGTAACAATTTACGTCTGACTAATAATTTACTACTACTACTAGACAATAATATTATCAATCAAAAATAATAGTAATAATAATACAAATAATAAAAAAAAATATACGTCGGAATTATGATTTACTTCTACTACTTAAAAATAAAAATAATAATAATAATAATAATAATAATAATAATAATAATAATAATAATAATAATAATAATAATAATAATAATAATAATAATAATAATAATAATAATAATAATAATAATAATAATAATTAAATAGTAAAGAATTTATGTATGACTAATAATTTACTTCTACTACTTGACAATAATAAAAAACAAAAAAAAATTAATAATGATAACAAAAATAGAAAATACAACAGTTTATGTCTGACTAATAATTTACTACTACTACTAGACGATAATATTATCAATAAAAAATAATAGTAATAATAATACAAATTATAATTAACAATAGATGTCTGACTTAGCATTTACTTACACTACTTGATTATATGAATAATAAAATAATAATAAAAAATATTCGTCTGACTAGTAATTTACTTCTACTACTTGAAAATATTAACAATAATGAAATAATAATAAAAAATATTCGTCTGACTAGTAATTTACTTCTACTACTTGAAAATATTAACAATAATGAAATAATAATAACAAACATACGACTGATTAGTAATTTACTTCTACTACTTAAAACTGTTAATAATAATGAAATAATTGTCAAAATAAACGTCTGACTGATAATTTACTTCTACTACTTAAAAATATAATAATTAATAATGAAATAATAAATTGTAAAAATAAAAGTCTGACTAATAATTTACTTCTACTACTGGAACTATAATATTAACAATAGAATAAAAATAATGACAAAATGTGTCTGAATAATAATTTACTTATACTACTAAAACGATAATATTATTATTAAAAATAACAATAATAATACAAATAATAAAAAAATATGTCTGACTTATAATTTACTTCTACTACTTGAAAATATTTTAAAAAATAATAAAATAATAATAAAAAATATACGTATGACTACTAATTTACTTCTACTACTTGAAAATATTAGTAATAGTGAAATAATTGAAAAAATTTACGTCTGACTAATAATTTACCTCTACTACTTGATAAAAAAAACCAAAAAATGTAATAAGTATAAAACGAATAGAAATTAGAAAAAATACGTCTGACTAATAATTTACTTCTACTACTTGACGGTATTATTAGAAATAATTTAATTTTATCAATAATAATAATACAAATTATAAAAATATATATGCCTGACTTATGATTTACTTTTACTACTTGACAAAAATATAGACAAAAAAAAATTAATAATAATAAAATTTATAGTAATTATAAAAAATACGTCTGACCAATAATTTACTTTTACTACTTGAAAATATTAATAATAATGAAATAATTGAAACAATTTACGTCTGACTAATAGTTTACTTGTACTATTTGACAAAAATATAAAACAAAAAAATTAATAATAATAAAAGTAATAATAATTATAAAATATACGTCTGACTAATAACTTGCTTCTACTACTTGATGATGTTATTAGAAATAAAATAATTTAGGAATAATAATACAAGTAATAAAAAATATATGCTTGACTTATAATTTACTTTTACTACTTGAATATATTAAGAAGAATGAAATAATAATAAAAAATATACGTCTGACTAGTAATTTACTTCTACTACTTGAAAATATTTTTTAAAAAATAAAATAAGAATGACAAATATACGTCTGACTACTAATTTACTTCTACTACTTGAAAATATTAGTAATAATAAAAAAATTGAAAAAATTTATGTCTGACTAATAATTTACTTGTACTACTGGACGATAATATTAATAATAAAAATAATAATAATATAAGAAATAAAAATATGTATCGAATTAATAATTTACTTCTGCTACTTGAAGATATTGACAATAATGAAATAATTGTAATTTACTTCTTCTATTTGACAAAAATATAAATCAAAAAAATTAATAAGAATAAAAGTAATAGAAATTAAAAGAAATACGTCTGACTTATAATTTACTTCTATCACTTGATGACATTATTAGAAATAAATTAATTTTATCAATAATAATACAAATAATAAAGAAATATATGTCTGACTTATGATTTACTTCTACTACTTGAAAATATTAACAATAATGAAATAATAATAAAAAATCTAAGTCTGACTAGTAATTTACTTCTACTACTTGAAAATATTAGCATCTAATAATAAAATAATTGAAACAATTTACGTCTGACTAATAATTTACTTGTACTACTTGACAAAAATATAAAACATAAAAATTAATAATGATAAAAGTAATAATAATTATAAAATATACGTCTGACTAATAACTTGCTTCTACTACTTAATGATATTGTTAAAATAATACAATTTTAGTAATAATAATACAAGTAATAAAAAAATATAAAAAATATATGTCTGACTTATGATTTACTTCAACTACTTGAAAATATTAACAATAATGAAATAATAATAATTTACGTCTAACCAATAATTTACATCTACTACTTGACGATAATAGTGACAAAAAAATTAATAATGATAAAAGTATGTGTAATTATAACAATGAACATTTGACTAATGATTGACTTCTACTACTAGACGATAATATTACCAAAAAAATACTAATAATAATAATAATATAAAAAATAATAATAAAAAAATATTTCTGACTTATAATTTACTTCTACTACTGAAATAACAGTATTAATACTAATATTATAATAAAGAATAGGAAAAACAAAAAAAATATTCCTTCCTATTTTTTAGAAAATAAAAAAATAATTTTAAATTCACAAAATTCTTTTCATTATTTAAAAAATAAAAGGAGAGAAAAAAAAATGGAAAAACAAACCTGGCCTTATTTCCTTCGTCAATGAGATCATGAATATCTTGATAGGACATCACAGCCAATTTAGAAAGATCCTCAACGTAGGGACCCAATAGGGGATGTTCCCTCACACGAAGATTACCTTTATTCTTTGGATTAAGAAGATCACGAACTCTCTCGCAATAAATTTCCATATAACTGACCTCAACTGAATATTTTAATTGTTCATTTGAATTTGATGTGATTTTACCAAAAAGATCCTTGCAAATTTGTGGAATAATACCCTCTTGGCCCTCCTCTTGCTTTCCCATCATTGTATATGATTTTCCGGCTCCAGTTTGACCATAGGCGAATATACAAACGTTGTAACCTATTTTTTTTTTATGAAAGTGGAAAAAAAAATTTTAACATACGCTTTAGAAATAAAAAAAACAAAAAAATTTTTTTTTTAATTTTTAATTAATTAATTTTTTTTTTATTTATTTTTTATTATATTCGTAGTTATTAATAAATAATTATATTCTTAATTCTCAGTTAATAATTTGATTCACAATTTTTAATAACTAATTACATTCATAATTATTAATAAATAATTATTGTATTTATTTTTATTAATAATTATTAATAAAAAATAAAATATAAAATACATATAAAATGTGTGTATAAAAGTCGAGAAGAAAAAAAAGGAAAAAAAATAAAATCACCGAAAGATACTATATAAAGAAAATTCTCTAATACAGATCAACACTTTTTTTCAAGCTATAAATCGGAGATTCCATTTCTGAAATGGAAGCTGAGAATGGATCCATTAGGAGAAAAAAATTTCTCTTCAAAATTTTTTTTTCCAAGTTATCAATTTACTGCGAGAGAATTTTCTTTTTATTTCTTCGTCTCTCAACGAGAAAATGTTTATTGCCTATTTATAAATGTTAAATATAAATATAAAAGTGAATTACCTTCAAAAGCGTGTTCCAACATTTCTTCGCCAATATCTTTATAAACCATAATTTGCGATGAATAATTATCAATATCGTTTGACTGCAAAAAAAAATTATTTTTCAAAGTTAGAACATTTTCTTTCATTTTATACCGACAAAATTTTTTTTTTCGATTTTCGTTCTTTTCTATTCGATTTTCGTTCTTTTTGTATTTAAAAAATCGTCTCAATAATAAAAGTTTGCAAATAAAATTTCAAAAATTACATTTTTTTCTCGGGAATTTTCCTTCTGAAGTTTTAAAATAAAAATTGTCAACAATTTTGTCCTTGATGTGAAGTATTATTTAAAAAGAAAATTGAAGTGAAGGAAAAGTCTTTAAATTTTCGACTGCTTTCTATTTTGTATTTTTACGAGAAAAAAAAAATTTCTTATCCTCGTTTTTTATTTATACTTTTTTGGAAATAAAAAAAGGAAATAAAAAATTTAGAAAGAAAAATTGTAATTTAAAACTTTTTATAGAGATAAGAAGGTTTTTTACTTGGAGACAAATGACAATGAGTGAGAGAGAAAAATGTAGAGAGTCTTAAATGAGATTTATAACATCAGACGAAAATTCTAGTAGGATATACGAGTCGAATAAGGAATATAAGTCTTAAAACAGAACTGGACGAAACGAAAAACAGAGTCCACTATTTCTGTTTCAGTCGAGAGATCCAGTGAGATATCGAGCGAATGTATTTTTTTGCTGAATATTTTACAAAGTAACTTGTATTTCGATGTCTTACGTGTCTCGAATTTTCCACAATTTTCTCTCTTTCTCTCTCTCTCTCTTCCTCTCTACTTCTCACTGTCTCGTTTAGTTTTTATTGTTAAAACCCCAAAAAAGGAAAAAATACATTTAAAAAATAGTTTTCTCCCAAAAAAGAAAAAATACCCTTTAAAAAATACTTTCCACCACAAAAAAAATTATTTCTTTTAAATTAACCTTCTTCTTATCATATTTTCTCTCTTCATTATTCGAAAAGAATTTAAATCACAATTTTTCATTGGTTACCAAATTTTCTTCCAAAAATCGAAAAAGAAAATATTCATAAAAAAAATATAAATATAATTATTCAAAAGGAAATACTCAAAAAAAAATTATGTTTGAATTCAGTTCTGTATTCTTATAAAACAAATAATAATTGATTCAAGCAAAATTTAGTTGATTCAAACATAATTTTTTCTGAGTGTAAATAAGTTATTTTTTTTTAAACTTACGTCCATTGAAAAGTAGGAATAGTCGTAATTAAAACTCTTGATGGCATCTTTAGTACCTGTTGGTGCTTTTGGATTTGTAATGGCTGCAAAAAAATAAATATCATATAAAAAATGTTAATTAGAATTTCAAATTAGAAAATTAATTAATCATTATTGATTAATAATTATACATTATGAATTACAAAATATATAGAATAATATAAAATAATCGACAAAAATTATAATCCTAATAAAATTGTACAAAAAAAAAAAATATAAATTTATTATTTACTGACTTTTTTCCACAAAAATCTGCTTCGAATTGATAAAATTGAATTATCATAAATTTTACAAAAGACGAAAAGAATGGATTTAATAAATTCAAACATAGTCTATAAATAATATTCTATATACATTTTCCATTGTATATATCACGGTCTGACATGTTCTCGACTATGTGTAATATTCAAGAACTGTGACGTTAATTTAAAGTGATGTGCACTCGACACGGAAATCGATCACTAGAATTTAGCTTCCTTTATATAACTACATATAAATTGCAAAATCTGCTTTCACATTTTGAGAAAGAATTTTTTTTTTCTCGTCAAATTTCATTTTTACAAATTTTTATTTTTCATTTTTTCAGAAAAAAAAACTATTTATCAGTATTTTATATAATAAATTGACAACTTTTAAACAATTTTCAGAAAAAATATATTATTTATTTGAATAAATTGCTATGCAGTAAAAAAAATTAAATAATGATTAAAAAAAAAATTAAATAATAATTGAAAAAAATTAAATAATAAGTATTTAGAAATTATTAAGAATAAAAGGGTTGGAACTTTATTTAAAAAAATTTTTCTTTCGCTATTTTTTAATTTTCACTACAAAACAATATTTATCGGTTTATTTACAATAAATTGACAATTATTAAACTTTTTTCGGAAAAAATGTAAATAAAAAACGGTATAAATATTATTTACAATAAATTGACAATTATTAAACATTTTTCGCAAAAAAATGTAAAAAAAACGGTATAAATATTATTTACAATAAATTGACAATTATTAAACATTTTTCGCAAAAAAACGTAAAAAAACGGTATAAATATTATTTACAATAAATTGACAATTATTAAACATTTTTCGCAAAAAAATGTAAAAAAACGGTATAAATATTATTTACAATAAATTGACAATTATTTAACAGTGTAAATAATTCATGAATAAATAAGTAAATAAACATTTTTCGGAAAAAAATGTAAAAAAATAGTATAAATAGTTTATAATGTTTATAACCTTATATTTTTGAATTTTTCTTTCGCTATTTTTAATGTTCAACACAAAAATAAGGTAGTGAAAAATAAATAAAGAAAAAATAAATAGAGAAAAATAAAAAATAAATAAATAGAGAAAAATAAATAAATAAATAAATAGAGAAAAATAAATTTAAGAAATTAACTAGTAGGAGACATTTTTCTAAAAAGGATAAATAAACAGTAAAAATGATTTGTAAGAATAGTCGAGGAAAATGAAGCGATAAATTTCAGATGCTGACTGGACGCAGTAATGCATTTAACGGAACCGTCTGACCAAATACGTTCCCTTACTACTGTGCGCCCACCACGCTAACAATAAACCCCCCAAAAAAATACCCTAAATAATAAATTTTCAATTTTCATTTCTTTTCATAAAAAAATTCCTTTTGTTCCCGATTTTCCAGGACTAAAAAATTATTTTTCTATCAAAAAGAAAAAAATGTCAGAACATTTTTTTTCTTTTTTATAGAAAAATAATTTTTTATTCCTAGAAAATCGGGAACAATTAAAAAAAAACTGAATTTAAAAAAATGTGACAGGAAAAAAATAATAAAAACAGTTTTAAATCGTATAATTTACAGACTCGTTTCTTTACAGCAAAGAAAATTTTAGGAGGTAATTTTGTTAAAATTACTTTACATTATGTTCTACAGTAATTTTATAGTAATTCTGTAATAATATAGTAATTCTGTAATAATATAGTAATTATAGTAATAATATAGTAATTATAGTAATAGTATAGTAATTATACTGTTTTATATTCCACATAGTAATTAAAACTGAAAAAGTAATCGTTTTCGAAAAAAAATTTTTTTTTTTGACTAAGGAAAAAAAAAGGAAACGAAAATTTGTAGGTGTACACGTGTATTTAGTTTACTAAAAAAAACTCTTACGCAAACACCCACGTTGTTTAATAAGGTCAAATAGTAAAATATAGTCAGCCATATTGACAGAATCAAGTTATGTGTATATATGTATATGAAAATACTGGATTGCAGACTCGCGAAAAAGGAGACAGGCGCCGGGGTCAAATGAAAAATCGATGTCGAGAGCGATGAGTCACCGGAGGTCGTGAAAGATGTTTCCTGCCTGAATAAACGCATTCCTGATCTGTTCTCTTATATTTTAAACTTATTTCCGAATGACAAATATTATTATATTCATTTGTCAAAATATTTTACGTTTCTTGCAATTTTTTATTTTTTCTTTAAAATTTTCTATTTAAAAAATTTTTAATAAAGTATTTCTTTAGTTTACATTATTTTTATATTAAATACTTTTTTATTTTACGTTTTTCATTTTTTACTTTACATTTAAGAACTGTGCAATATTTTCTATTTTCAATTTAAAACAATTTTTGTTGTAAAATATTTTCTTTATTTTCTATTTTTTTCTTTGTTTATATTTTTTAGATATTGTTTATTTTCTTCATATTTTCTACATTTTTTCTTTATTTGTATTTATTAAATATATTTTTTTAAAACATATTTTCTATTATCCATTTAAAAAAATTTTTGTTGTAAAATATGTTCTTTATTTTCTACTTTCTTTTTTTGTTTATATTTATAAATATTGTTTCTTTACTTTATATTTTCTACTTTTTTTCCTTGTTTATATTTATAAATATTGTTTCTTTTCTTTATATTTTCTACTTTTTTTCTTTATTTGTATTTATTAAATATATTTTTTGAACTTATTTTGGAAACAAAATATTTTTCTTATTTTATATTTAGAAATTTATTTTTGAATTTGTATATAAAAATATACCTATATATTTTTATTTTACATTTATATTTTTCTTTACACTTTTTATATTTTACTTTACACTTTTATATTTTACTTTACATTTTTCATTATTATTTACTTGACATGTGAAAATATTTTTTCTATTCTTGTATTTTTTTTTTATATTAATAAATATATTTTATTTTCTTTATTTTTTCCCTTTTCTTTCTCTATTTGTGTTTATTCAATATAATTTTATCTTGTTTTGGAACAAAAAATATTTTTAAACAAAAAAAAGGTCAAAAATAGAAAAATTAAAAATAAAAATTTGAGAAACAAAAAAAAATGAATAAAATATATTTTTAAATATAAAAAGTAAAATATATTCGTAAATAAAATGTATTTTTCAAAAACAAGATAAAAACATGTTTGTAAATGCGAATAAAGAGAAGAAAAATGAAAAATAAAGAAAATAAAAAATATTCATCAATTATAATTAAAGAAAAAAAGTGAAAAATAAAAAAAAATATTTCTACAAGTTTTTCTAAGGACATAAAATTAAGACAAAGAACGTATCAAAATTGTTGCGATGCAACAATTACTGAAAAGATTTTTTTTTTTAATTCTTCAATTAATCCAATTTACATGTCTTGACATCTTTTTACATATTTGCGAGAAAATAAATTTTCAAAAGCGGGAACATTATTGAAATTTTAATTAAAAATTGAAGATGAGTGAATTTTTTCTTCTTTTTCTATTAAAATTTTTTACTCTCTCGTACTTTTTATTCGTGAAAAAAAAAGAAATTTGCAATTTAGTGTCATTTGGTGAATGAAAGACATATCGTTGGAGAGGTATCATAAATAAAAAAAAAGATTCGGTGAGTCACGGATGCGGATTATCGATTTCATCTCCCAGTTGCAGTAGATAAGTTTTTTTTATATCTATTTTTTCTTTCACCCTCTCCTTTATAATTCACAATCTTTAAAAAAGCTTATTCAATGAATCATCGCCGTCTTTTCTCTATTCAATTATTTTTTATTTATTTTTAGAATTTTTTTTTCCAATTTTATATTTTTTTTATTTTATTTCTAGAGTATTAAATTTTTGTTTATTCTTTTTTTTATTTTTTTCTATTTTTTCAATTTTTATCATCAGCTTTCAATTTTTTTTTATTTTCCAGTTTTTTCTAGTTTTTATACTTTTCTCTACTTTGTTCTTTATTTTTACAGTTTTTTAAAACATTATTTCAATTTTTTTATATTCTTTCAATTTTTTTTCCCCTGTTTTTCTTTCAATTTTTTTTATTCTTTTACTTTTCCCTACTTTTTTCTACTTTTTTCTACTTTTTCAATTTTTGTTGTATTGTTTAAATTTTGTAATATTCATTTCCACTTTTTTCTATTTTTGCAATTTTTTTTCGTATTCTTTCGTATTTTTTAATACTCCTTTCTACTTTTTTCTATTTTTCTCGATTTATTTAATTTTTAGTCAAATTATACATTTTCGAAAAAGAAATTTTGATAAAAAATTATTACTTACAAGTGGTATTTCCATTCATGTCGATAATACATTGTGCTTCGCGGCATATCTCTCGGTTATTGAAGGGACGAACCCGCACCGCCACCTTCACCGACGACATCTTTTTTCTTTTCTCTTTTCCTTTATTTTAATCCACAAAAAATTGTTTCTTGTAATCACCAACTGAAATTCAGAAAAAAATAACAATTATAAAAATGAAATTAATTTCACATATTTTATACACTTTTTATTTTATTATATTTTCCTCTCTTCAATTCTTTCTATTTCTTCAGAAAAATTCTTTTCAATAAAATAATTTCCTAAGAGAACAAAATACAAAACAATTTCAGAAAAACTATTTGCAATTAAAAAATAAATTTTTAGAAAAAAAAACAAAGAACAAAAATAATCCTATCTATTTTTAAATAATTTTCTAAAGAAAATGTTTTTTGTATTTTTGTAACAATTTAAATTCATTGAATTTCATTTTAATAATTTTTTTTCAGGAAACGAAGAATTATTCTCAGTTGAAAATGATTTTTTAGAGAAGAAAAAAGAAAATTATTTTCAGAAAATGTAATTCTCTAGAGAATAAAAAATGAAAAATTCTCGAAAATTATTTACAATTAAAAAATAATTTTCTAGAAAAAGAAATAAGGAAGAACAAAAATATTTCTATAGAATAATTTTCAATTAGTTTTCTGGAAAAAATATTATTTGTACCTACTTTTCTAATAATTTAAATTCAGAATTTAATTTTAATAATTTTTTCAGTAAACAAAGAATTTGAAAATAATTTTTTAGAGAAGAAAATAGAAAATTATTATCAGAAAATGTAATTCTCTAGAGAACAGAGAAGAAAAATTCTGGAAAATTTTTCTTTAATTAGACATAATTTTCTAAGGAAGAAAATAAAATTTCTATTTATTTAAATCGCAGATGAAAGTAAATGGGAAATATTTGTCTCGAGAAAGGTTACGGTAAATATGAATATCATTTACTCTACATGATGATTTACACTTTGAATTTAATTTAATAATTTGAAGAAACTATTGCACTCATTTGAAATGTCAACTGACTAATTGTCAACTAATTAAACGTTACAACAATTCAGGCAGGTCTGAGAAGAGAGAGTGAGTGAGTGAGTGGGAGAGAGAGAGAAGGGTTATTGTGCACGAGAATGTATAATGAATTACCTTGTTAACCAAGTTTATCCCCTGAGATCACTCAGAAACCTATTACTAGATAGATTCATTTCGCTCGAATTATTTTATACTATACTCCATTGTGACAAGACCAATTTTTAATTACATTTTAACTATTCCTCATAAACAAAACTCCTCGTTTTTATTTTACGAAAATGAAAATTTCCTAACTTTTTTTTATTCATCTTTGCAAATAAGGGAATTAATTATTTTAAATATTTTAATTTAATGAACGAGACACAAGAATTTTATGCGAAATTCGAAAATGAAACGAAAAATTGATTGCAGGACATAAGCTCCAATATAAAAAATGTTAAATTATTATATTATCCAAGTTTTGCCACAAAAACCACATTTTTTGTATAAAATTCAATTTATTTCGATTTTCATAGTGTAAAAAGTAAACTAAAACTAAAACTAAAAAGTAAACTATGGACAAATCTTTCAAAAATTATTTTTGAATGATTTTTCTAATTAAATTTTTGAAATAAACAATTAAAAAATTTTTCAATAATTAAAATTTTGTAAAATTTAACAGAAAATAATTGATTTTTTCAAGTGTTTTATTACAATTTTTGAAAATCACCTTTTGAGGAATTTTAATTGCAAATTTTGAAAATAATTGAATTCTCAAAAATTTCAATGAAAAATCTTCAAGTGTAAATTTTCTAAATATGAAAATTAATGAAAATTAGCTTCTAAAAATTATATTAAAATATTTTTGAAAAAAGTAATATTTATAGAATTTTTTCCTTGTATGTTTTTAAAATTCAATTATTTTCCATAATTTCAATTACATATTTCCGAAAATTCAAATACGTGAAAAAAATAATAACATAAAAATTTTTTTAAATTATTTTTAACACTTTGGAGAAAACAATCATGTTCAACATTTTTTTTTAAATTTAACAAAAAATTAGTTTCTTTTAAATCGTACAAATATTCTTTAAAGAAATTCAATTATTTTCGTAAAATTACATTGCAATATTTTTCAAAAACTGACTTTTATAATTGTTTTATTATAGTTTTTTAAAATTCATTTTTATTACATTTATTTTGTTCGAAAATAATTATCTTCGAACAAAATAAATTAAAATTTTTCAAAATTTACTTTTTCAGACTTTTTAAAATTTTGGAGAAATTATGTTAATTTTAAAAATTATAATTCTTCATAAAAATTTGATTATTTCTTTTTCTATTTTTCAAAAATTTAATTATTGTTAAAAGATTTGGCCAAATTTCAATTATTTGGAAATTTTTCAAATGTATAAATTAAAAACTTTTAAACTTTCAAAAATTATTTAAAAATATATTTAAAAAATTAATTTTAAGAATTTTTTTATTATAATTTTTTAAAAATCAGTTACTTTCAGCATTTTTGGTTAAATATTTTCAGTAATTCATTTTAATAACTTTTATAAAAAAAACTATAAACAGTTACAGTTACAATAATTCTGGAAAATTGAATTTTTGTATTTGAATAATTGGAAGAAAAATTGAAAATAATTTATTTAGAAATGAAGTTTAGTTAAAAATTGTGAAAATAATTTAATTTTGGAAGGGTAATGATTATAATTTTAAGAAATTATTCAATTTCAAAAGGTTTTAATTTGAAATTTTTCTAATTTTATTTCCCTTGGGAAACAAATAATAATTATTTAAATATTTATTTAACAAAATTATTCAAGTTTTGAAAAATTTAATTTAGATATCAGCGAAAGGGAAAAATATTTACCAAAGCGAAAAGAAAATTTAAAAAACTAAACAATGAAAATTCATATTTAGTTTTTAGAAAAAATTGTTATAAAAGAAAAAAAAGGTTAAAAAAGCAAAAAAGAGTTCTTTTTTTTGCTTTTTTTTAATCTTCTTTCCCTTTTTTTATTTTGCATTTAAGTTTAATTATATGTAAATTTTCCTCTGCAATTTCTCAGATTATCAGTAAAGAAATTGCAACAATATGGAAATGTAGAATGAAAATCCATAGGGGTGTGTTATGTCATGGAAAACTTTTTGATGAATCATATATATGTAAGGTATACGTATACCAAACGACATAAGAATGAAAGCGACTATATTTATGATTCTTTGAAAGTTTGTTGAATTTTTCTACTTTGTGTGTATATATTATATATACACAGATAGCAGTCATAATGAACTCTCACTACGCCGAACCAGAAACAATAATTTCATTAGCATTTTAACAGCACGTAATCGTTTATCGAATCCCATCAACTAACAATATCACAAAGGCAATAGGATCATTATTTTATCATAATCAATAATAATCCCTTTTAAAACTCACTCGATAGCAATATAAACATGTATTTATAATTAACAAAACGTCTTTTGCATTATATATTTCAAATAATAATTATTTATTAAAATGGAGATGAATGTTGTGTAACTAAATACTAAAATTTTTATTAATATTATTAATATTATTATTATTATTATTTATTTTTTGTTAATATTATTTTTTTATTTATTTATTTTTACTTTTGTCAAGTAGTATAAGTAAATTATTTGTCAGACATATTTTTTACCATTATTTTTATTATTATTAATAGTAATGTTGTCGTTTCAGTAGTAGAAGTAAATTATTGGTCAGACATATATATCTTAATTGTTTTCATTATAATTTTATTATGAATATTATATCGTCAAGTAGTAAAAGTAAATTATTTGTCAAAAGTATATTTTTATTATAAACATTTATATTATTACCAATGTTAATATTAGCGTTTAAGTAGTAGAAGTAAATTATTAGTCAGACGTATATTTTTATTATAAACATTAATATTATTAGGTACTAATATTAATATTATCATTTTAGTAGTAGAAGTCAATTATCAGTCATATATTTTTTTATTATTTGTATTCTTGTTCTTATTTTTAATATAAATATTATCGTTTCAGTAGTACAAGTGAATTATAAGTCAGACGTAAATTGTTATTATTATTTCATAATTATTAATATTTTCAAGTAGTAGAAGTAAATTGTAAGTCAGACATATATTTTGTTATTATTTGTATTATTATTCTTATTTTTAATATGAATATTATCGTCAAGTAGTAGAAGTAAATTAATAGTCAGACATACATTTGAATTATTTTTATTATTTTTATTATTATTATTATTATTATAACTAATAATATTATAATCGTTTCAGTAGTACAAGTAAATTAATAGTCCGGCATATATTGTTATTGTGTTTATTAGTATTTTATTGTTAATATTATCTTCAAGTAGACAGTTTTTTAAGGATATCAAATTAGGACAAATAACGTATCTAAACGTTGCATCGCATAATTTTTTATATATTTTTTTTCTCAATTTGATATCCTTAGAAAAACTGTGTAATAGAGATAAATTATTTGTCAGATATATATTTTTAATATTTTTTGTATTATTATTTATTATGATTTATATTAATATTATCGTTTTCAGTAGTCATTGTTATTATTATTATTATTATTTTTATATATTTAAAAGAATTTATCACTTGGCAAAAATTATTATTTTTTTTATTGTAAATATTATCGTCAAGTAGTAAAAGTAAATGATTAATCAGACATATTACAATTATTATTAATATTAACATTATTGTTTCAGTAGTACGAGTAAATTAATAGTTAGACGAATTATTTTTATTTTTATTGTTACTATTTTATTGTTAATATTATTGTCATGTAGTAGAAATAAATTGTTAGTCAGATATATATTTTTATTTGTATTATTATTTTTACTTTATTGTTAATATTATTAAGTAGTAAAAGTCAATTATTGATCAGACATAATTTTAAGTAATTGTATTATTATTAATATTATTATTTTACTGCGCTATTATTATCCGTATATTTATTAAAAGTGTAATTTAATTTGTTTTTATGAACAAAACTTTATTTTTTTAATAAAATGTTTTCATTGTAAAATTTACGAATTGCAATAAAAAGAGAATTTTGAAAAGAAGAATGTTATTTTAAAGTAAAACACTGTTTTCTGACGCATACAAATCAAGGACGAAGAACGTACGTCTGATACGATTAACTTGCCTTGGTGATCGATTCAGGATTAGAATGAAAAGGATAAAAATAGGTTGTATTTAATGAAACTTTTAGATTTGAATGAAAATGAAGTGTTGTTTATTGTAAAAATAAAACTAGGTCCAGAACTTTGTTTTCTTCGTTTACTCCTTTCTATATATTAGAATATTAAACAATAATTTAGATTCGTAATTTTCTTTTACTATGTTAATTTTTAAAAAGAAAATCTCTTTTTTGTATTTTAAATTTTGGTGCATTAAAATTTTATATTAAGGAAAATTTGTTACTAAAAGTTATTATTTTATTGAATAAATAAACTACTTTAGACTATAAATTTTGAAAAATTTTTAATTCTTAACTCTGTTAGTGGGATTTGAATTTACTTCTTGTTTTTATTTCTAAAACTTTTTTCGATCTAGTTTTTTTGTTGATTATTCGCAAATTGGAGAGTTTGGAAAAAAAAATAAAAAATTTACAAAAAGAGAAGGGGAAATTTTTATTTCTTTTTCGAAGATAAAACAATGCCAGGGGCGTTTATATTTAATACCCTCATTTGTTAACGTCAAAGATGATTATCTTGCAAAAAAAAAATGAAAGAGATCACTGATACTTGTATGATTCATATCGACAGAATCTTTTTTTCGATATAGAAGCCGAAAGACAAATCTTCAATATTGATGGACCAAAGAGAGAAGAAGAAGCTTCTAGAAGAATTTGAAGAAAATGTCTCTTTTTCTCAAGATGTAAAAAATCAAACTCTTTTTTCTAAAGAAATCAAACTCTTTTCTCTAAAAAATCAAATCAGCAAATATTATTTCTGAAAAATATTTTATTTTCTAAAAAAATGGTTTTTACCACAATTTTTAAAAAGGTTTTTATTTTTATAATTTGACAGGTTGAGCATATTATTAGTGTACTAGTTTTACTGCAAAGTGAACATTCCTTGCGCAATAGTTAATATAAGTACAGAAGCAAAGAAGTTATTTCTTCTTTTAAAAAAAAATTTCTTCAAAACTTAATTCTTCAGAAAATAATTGTTCAAAAAATTATTCTTCAAAATATAATTCTTCTGAAAATAATTATTCGAAAAATAATTATTCAAAAAATAATTCTTCACAAAATAATTATTCTTCTGAAAATAATTGAAAAAATAATTCTTCTGAAAATAATTATTCTAAAAGTAATTCTTCAGAAAATAATTATTCAAAAAATTGTTCTACAAAAAAATAATTCTTGAAAACATTATTCTTCAAAGATAATCTCAATACACAGCTGAAAATTTTCGTTCTGACAAAACGAAACATTCATTTAAAGAGATTTACACCATTTTGCAGAAGCAGACAAAAACTATCGAGAAAATACTAATTTTTAGAAAATAAATTTAATAACAAAAAAAGTCTTGTCAATTTTTGGAGAATTTTGAACTCACTGTCAACTTAAAAGTATCGAATTGTATATTGAATTGATGTTTTGATGAAAACATAATTTGATCTAAATTTTGTCAAACAAATTCGATCAAATTTGGTAGAAATTATATCCAATTTGGTACCAATTTGATCCAATTTGATCCAATTTGCTATCAAAGCGTTACAATTTCGTACGAATTCGAATTTGGCACGAATTTGATACAATTTGGTACGAATTTGATCCAATTTGGTACCAATTGGATACCAATTTGCTACCTACAAGAAAAAAGTAAAACGAATTCCAAATAAAATTCACCAATTTTTAACTCTTCCAATTTTTTTCAGAAAGAAAGAAATTTTTTTAAGAAACAAAATTCATAACCCAAAAAAAACAAGACACCAGAAAAGAAAAAAAAATACACCAAAACTGATCAATACACACATCTTTTTTTATGAAACAACCTATATTTTAATGATATATACCTATATACAAGCTTGCAAATAATAACTATTCCACGAAGAATAGGCGAACCCAGACTAGTATCGCACCGATCGATCGTTGTTAAAAAAAAAAACCCAGAAGAAAAAAAAAACAATATTCCTCACCTTGATTGTTGAGAAAAGTTTCTTAGGGTGTGAAAAAAATCCTCAACAAACACTGCACTTCAACAATATATATATATAATATATGTATATAAATATAACAATAATAACAAACAGAGGGGGGTTGTTTCTTTTTTCCTATGTTAAATTTTTTTTGTGGTTCACGCACTGCTATGTTAAAACACTATGTGAATGAAAACCGTTAATTGAGTAGCAAACCATGTTAGGTGCCATTATTACATGTCCGCCTTATTCTAACATCACCGACAGCACCGTCAGCAGCACTGAAATTGTGAGCTTTCTGGCCTCGATTGTACGACTCGAGCGCCATTAACAACCCACGCGACTACCCTCTAAACCCGAAGGCTTGCAAGCATCTCCATCACGATTGATCTAGATAAATTTTTATATCCAGTTATCTGTCATCCCTTTTTTATTTTCTATTCAGTAATGGCATTTTTTTTTTTTATTTCGATTGTATTTTTCGATTTTTTTGGTATTTTTCTTTATTAGTATTTTCTTTTTTTATTATTCTATTTTTCTATAATTTTCTATATTTTTTTTTTGTTTTCTTTGTATTTTTTCTACTAGTATTTTTTCCATTTAGTATTTTTGCTATTAGTATTTTTTCCATTTAGTATTTTTGCTATTAGTATTTTTGCTAAAAGTATTATTTCCATTACTATCTTTCCTATTAGTATTTTTTCTATTAGTATTTCTTCCATTAGTATTTTGCTAATAGTATTATTTCCATTATCTTTTCTATTAATATTTTCCCAATTAGTATTTTTTTAAATAGTATTTTTTCTATTGGTATTATTCTACTAGTACTTTTTCCACTCCTATTTTTTTTGTTATTAGTATTTTCTATTTTTTCCATTATTATCTTTTCTATTAGTATTTTCCCTATTAGTATTTTTCCTATTAGTATTTTTTCCATTGGTATTATTCTACTAGTATTTTTCCATTCCTATTTTTGCTATTAGTATCATTTCCATTACTATCATTCCTATTAGTATTTTTTCCATTACTATTTTTCTTTTTGCTATTAGTATTTTTTCCATTGCTATTTTTGCTATTAGTATTTTTTCTATTATTATGTTTTCAACTAAAATTTGTTCAAGTAGTATTTTTTTATTAGTATTTTTTCTATTGTCATTTCTTCAGTTAGTAAATTTCTACAGCTATTTTTTTTACTAGTATTTTTTCATTGTATTTTTTCTATCGTTATTTCTTCAGTTAGTAAATTTTTCCATTAGTACTTTTTCTACTAGTATTCTTAGCTATTAGTATTTTTTCTACAAGTATTTTTAACTATTAGTATTTTTTTCTCGAGAATATTTGTCGTTAAATATTTTTCTACAGCTATTTTTTCTACTAGTATTTTTTCTATTAGTATTTTACAACCATCATTTATTTATTTCATTAACATTTTTTTACTAGTATTTTTTTAATAGTCTTTTATTTCTATTGGTATTTTGCCTGTTATTTTTTTACCAGTATATTTCTACTAAAATTTTTTTAATTAATTAATATTTTTAATACTAGAATTTTTTACCCTAATTTTTTTATTAGTATTCTTTCTGTTTTTTTATATTTTAATTTTTTTCAACTAGGATTTTTATGTAGCAATACTTTTTTATTGGTAGTTTCTCGATTAGTATTTTTTCCAATTAGTATTTTTTCTACAAGTATTTTCATCTATTAGCATTTTTTCTACAAGAAGCTTTGTCTATTATTATTTTTCTACTGGAATTTTGTCTAATAGTATTTTTTCTACTAGTATTTTTTCTATTAGTACTCTATTTATTTGCATATTTTCTACTAGTATTTTTTCCTATTACAATTATTAACCATTATTTTTTACATTAGTATTTTTCTACAAGTATTTTTTTATTTTATTAGTATTTTTTTTCTATTGATATTTTATCTATTTTTATGTTTTCTACTAGTATTTATTTCGATTAGTATTATTAACCATTATTTTTTAATATTAGTATTTTTCTAAAAGTATTTTTTTTTATTTGTTACTATTTTTTTTAATGGTACTTTTTCAGCCATTTTTTTATTAATTTTTGTTTTTTTCTACTAGTATTTTTATCTAACAATTCTTTTTCTGTTGATATTTTCTCGATTAGTATTTTTTCTTTTTTTACAAGTATCTTTATGAATTAATTTTGTTTCTGCTGTTATTTTTTCGTATTTGTATTATTGAATTAGTTTTTTTTTCTACTAGTTTTTCTTTCTACTAATATTTTTTTCTATTAGTAAGTATTCTATTAGTAGGTTCTTTCTATTAATACATTTTGGAAGTATTTTTCCTACTAGTATTTTTCTATTGGTATTCTTCTCTATCAATACTTTTATTACTATTATTTTGATTTGTCTACCATAACTTTTTTCCACTAGTATTTTTTTTAAATAATTTTAAGAATTTTCTAATTTTATTTTTTGATAAATTTTTTCTATTTTTACAGAAAAAATACAAGTAGAAAATAGAAAATTCTATTTGTATTTTTTACTAGTATTTTTTTTTAGAAAAACTATTGTTATGAATTCTTTATTATTTTTTGAAAATTTTCTCTCTATTTTTCTAGAAAAAATACTAGTAAAAAAATACAAATAGAAAATAATACTAGCAAAAAAAAGTATAAATGCAAAAAAATGCTAGTGGAAAAATACAAATAGAAAATAATACTAGCAAAAAAAAGTGCAAATACAAAAAAAAATACTGTTGAAAAAATACAAATAGAAAATAATACTAGTAAAAGAAATTACAAATACAAAAAAATACTAGTGTAAAAAAGTTTTGATAGAAAAAATAATAGTAATAAAAGTATTATTTTCTATTCGTATTTTTTCACTAGTACTTTTTCTAAAAATTTTTCTCTTTTTTTCTAAAAAAAAATACTAGTGAAAAAATACAAATAGAAAAAGAATTCTACATGGGAAAAATAGTAATAGGATATTACAATTTTCCCTACTAGAATTTCTTTCTATTAGTATTTTTTCCACCAGTATTTTATTTATTAATTTTTTGTAACTCCAGATTTTTTTGCCCAAGAATTTTTTGTTATTGAATTAGTATTTTTTTCATTATCAGCATTTTTTTGTTCTATTCGCCTTTACTTTTTATTTAATTAGCATTTATTTTTTAGCTCATTAGTTAATTAATTTTCTGGTATTAACTGGGTCGACAATATTCAGGGTAATTTTTCGTCCAAAATTTTTTTTAGATTTCACCAATCAGAAGGGGAAAAAATTGATTAAAAACGAGAAAATTCCCGTCAGTGGAAAATAGCAACTGGTAATAATCACGATATGGAACAAATCCAAAAGTACCTGTTTCGAAGTACTACAAGTGCGCAAAATGGATAAACGTAAAAAGTTCATTACAAAAAAAATAAAAAATCAATTAAAAATTTTAAAGCAAAAAAATTATTTAATATACTTGTTAACGAGTCAAAGATGATTATCTACATTTTCTCTTAAACTAACGAGTAGATTAAATAAAAAATTTTCACCCCTTTCGCCAACTAGGGAAGAAATTTCAAAACAATAAAAAATTGATAAAATCGGAGTAAATCGATAATTTAAAACATTTTTTTTTAAAATATTTTTTTCGAAAATATTTTTGAAGACTTTATCTAGATGATTCCTTAAAATATTGGTAACAAGAGTATTGAAGGTAGAGGGTGCAAGATGGCTGCTACCAATTGGAGTTTGCGTAGCTTCAACTGTAAGGAGTCACATGACCTGACTTTCGCGTAACCTCGACGAGCTATTCGGCCAATCGGCTGGCAGTCCACGAGTAGAATCAATAGGACGCCGAGGCGTCATGACGTCACATAGAGAAACGATCGACCAGTGCGACGCGGGCGGCGCCGGCCAATTCCTCTTTTTTTTCTCTCTCCTATTTCTCTCTCCCTCTCTCAGCCCCCCAATCAATAATGAAGCTACCGACAATGAAGAAAAGAAGAAGGTATAAACTCTCGATAGTGACAAAAATTGGTGACAGCATTCCCTTCATTGTGGAATGTGACGTAATTGAGAGTAGAGGGCAAAGAGAGGAGAGAGCCCCCCTTGTATTTGTAATACCACCTACGTTCTCTTCCCGCTTGTTATGTAAATTATACACCTCAAACACCAACGCAAAATAATCTCAGACGGAGAAAAGATGTCTCATTTAACACAGTTTTTGCATTTGTAGTTACAATTTTTTTTCCACACTTATATAGTTAGAATTTTTCCAACTTTTTTCGATTATAATCAGGATTTTTCCTACTTTTCCACTAGAATTGGGATTATTTCAATTATAGATGGGAATTTTCCTATTTTTCAACTACTCTTTTAATTTTTGCAATTACAGAAGGGAATTTTTCTATTTTTCAATTATAATCAGGATTTTTCAAATTTTTTTCAATTATAAATTTATAATTGAACCCCTTGATGCAAGAACCAGACGCAGCACATTTAATTTCAATTGTCTATGTCTGGTTCTTGCATCAAGGGGTTCAATTTAGATTTTTCAACTATTCTTGGGATTTTTCAATTATAGAAGGGAATTTTTCTATTTTTCCATTATAATCAGGATTTTTCCTATTTTTTCCAATTATAATTAAGAATTTTCCAACATTTCAACTATTATTGGGATTTTGTTAACTATGGGTGGGAATTTTCCTATTTTTCAATTATAACCAGGATTTTTTCTATTTTTTTTTAAATTATAATTTGGATTTTTTATATTTTTTCAATTATAATTACGTTTTTTTTTAATTGTAGAATATAATTTTTCAATTAATTATATGTAAATAAGAATTTTCCTATTTTTCAATTTATTAGGATTTTTTCAATTTTTTCAATTATAAAGGGGAATTTTCCTATTTTTCAATTATAATTTAGATATTTTTAATTATAGATAGGAGTTTATAAATTTTTTTCAATTTTTACAATTTTTGTAATTATAGATAGGATTTTTCAATTACAGATGGAAATTTTCTTATTTTCAATTATAATTAGAATTTTTCTTCAATTATTTTTAATTACCATTAAGACTTTTCCTACTTTTTTCAATTATAGGTAATTAGGATTGATTCAATTACAGATAGGAATTTTCCAATTTTTTCAATTATATATTTTGGATTTTTTCAATTATAGAAGGGAATTATACTATTTTTCGAATTATACTATTTTTCAATTAAAATTTAAAATAAGGATTTTTTCAATTATAGAAGGGAATTTTCCTACTTTTCTATTATAACCAGGATTTTTCCAATTTTTTTCAATTATAATTTGGATTTTTCAACTATTCTTGGAATTTTTCAATTATAAAAGGAAATTTTACTATTTTGCAATAATTATAATTAGGATTTTTCCTATTT